TATCATGAATATACTAATTACTGAGACTTGCTTTCCTTATTACAAATATAGCGCAGTTATAAACACATTGTTAGCGTTATGGTGTCGTTAAGGTGTAATTGGATGCTGAGATAGTAATATTCAAGCTAGTTTACACAGTTAGTCGATCCCAGGTGGCTGGAGGTTTTGCGAGCGGCAAGCCGACTTAACTGGGATTAACCGGTTTAATAGAGAGGGATTTAAAACGAACTGAAAATATCCGAGAATTTTTAATAAGACGTTCCCTGGAAGGTGCGCTTCTTCTAAATGGAATGATGAATGAATGATGAATGGAAATTTTGGGAAACTCCACTTTTGTTGTGTTGCCTAAAACTGCTTTCGAATTTAAGTGAAAATTAAAAATGATCACGCGTATCGTATAAAAGTGTGTTGAACATATCCCAATTTAAAGTCGGTTAAAGATAAAAATAATAGACTAAACATTTTTTCTCTACGAGCGCGCTCGCGACTAAAAACTATTAGTATTGCCCGCGACTTTGTCCGCGTGACCTGAAAAAGAGTAGTCAATGTTTTACTTCATCTTAAACTGTATATTAATTCTGACCAATGGTTGGTCTATTAAGGGAACAAGACGTGACAAACAAACAGCGAAACTAATTTTTATATTTATATTATTAGTAAAGATACGCTGTGCGATATATCATGGTTCTAGTGTCAACTGATATTGGTTTTGAGTTGGACAGTTTTTGACATTTTGATTTTTTTCAAATTTTGATAATCGATTCCTTCTTACAGTCAAATGTTTTGGAGAATCCATAAGTTGCTATTTTGTAATTTTACTCTACTTTAGGTATTTATAATCTGGATTATGATGTAACCTTAGATTATATAGATAGTCTCTATAGAAATGCTTCCAGAAAAATGGGTCAACTTGTTCATACAATTTTGCGTGATAAATAGTTATGAGTGATTCCTTTATCTATTCTTTATACTTCTATATTTATTTTGTGTTATAAATTCTGTATCTTTTTAAGGCGCGAATACTCATTTCATTTATTGAAGTTATCGTTAAGATACATTTTATGCGTAAATATATAGAATACTGATAAACAAAAACGAGTCAATTAATTTGACAATTAGCTGACAAAAAGTTGACCCGTTTTTGAGATTCGATGCTCTATCTATATAATTTAACGTTGTAAAATACAGAATAATAAATAAAATCATAGATTTTTTTATACAACTTAGAATGGCAAACAAGCCTACGGTCCATCTGTTGGAAAGTGATAACTGTCGCCTATAGACATGAGCAGTACCATGGACATAATAGAGTATACTGTTTTACCCATGATACCCCCCATGCGATGCCATTTCTGAGGACTCAGGTGTTATTCCTCTGTACCCAGTAAATTCACGCCATATCCCACCCTTCAAACCGAAACACAGTCATGCAAACAAAACTGCTTCATAGTTGAAATACGAATGGGACAAAGGTGCCCAAGCAATCGACTTTTGTAGAAAGTCTCCCTCTGGTACTTAAGGATAGTACTTTTCCGTTAAAATGTTTTTATTTTAAATTAACAACATGAAGTTCGTATCGACACTCAATTCTTATTCAGGGTTTCTATTGTGTTGAAGTGTTCTTAAAATTATGCGTAATCTCTAATGGTGAAATTTATTAATTTAATTGCAATTTGAAGTGATGGTGACTGTTCTAAATTAACATTACTTTTAAATGAATTTACTGAATTTATTGGGTACAGAGGAATAACACCTGAGTCCTTAGGAATTGCAACGCATGGGGGGTATCATGGGCGAAACAATATACTCTGTTATTTCCATGGTACTGCTCATATCTATAGGCGACGGTTACCACTTTCCATCAGGTGGGCCGTCAGCTTGTTTGCCATTCTAAGTTGTATAAAAAAAAATTATAATATTATTATTATATAGAAAACGCTATGTTCTTGAAATTAGAATAAAATATGATAAATTTGTAATGGAAATGACATAATTAATTGAACTTGTAAGTTTATAAATCACTACATACATAGTATAAAACAAAGTCGCTGTCGCTGTCGCTGTCTGTCTGTCTCTATGTATGCTTAAATCTTTAAAACTACGCAACGCAATTTGAAGCGGATTTTTGAAATAGATAGAGTGATTCAAGGAGAAGGTTGATGTGTATAATATATGCACAATATTATAGAGAAACACTGATAATTTTAGAGGTTTCTAATGTGATGTCGTAATGTAATGGGGGGCGGGCGGCGCTATTTAGTATCAGCATTGCACCCGTGTGAAGCCGGGGCGGGTCGCTAGTTATTAAATAAATTGATATGTATCTGTATTTTATGTCGTTACGTTACACTGTGGAAAAATATTCATCGAATGACTAGGTACCAGAACATACTGTATATTAATTTTCTGCAGGATAGGTACAGTGTGATGTCTACTTTCATATTTCTCCAATCTCCGTAGTCGGCAAGACCCCTTTTGATAACGCTCCTATTCGAAATTAAAAATAAAATTTCCCATTCAAGACACGATCCACTCGGCGGACTTGTGCGAAATTTTTACAAAATAAAAACCCACCACTACTTCTGGTGGTTCGCAGCGTTATAGAACTTTAATTTCTAGACTATAAAGTTGAAATTAGTTCGCATTATTAGTTAACTTTAGTATAGATTAGCAGTTCGGGAACTGGATAACTTTGCCTGCAACCGCAGCGGAGTTTCGAGTGCATAGCTGAGTTGCGGAGCTGCGGAGTTGCGGAGTTAGTCCCGCCAGTTGGCGCTCTTTAACTAAACCAGTTGAAACTGGATCCGTTTTTAATAGTTTTTTTTTTCTAGTGTTTTTAAATAAATTTCAAAGCGCTTTAAGCGTTTGTTTACTGTTTCGTCTTTTTTTTTTTACATGCAAAACTTTTATTTCATATTAATGAACAGCTAAATTAAAAAGCATGTGAGTCGTTTTACAGTTAAGGAATAGTGCTTAATGTACAGTACATATTATCTGTGGTAATTGATATAAAGTATAGATATTATTGCCGTGTGATCCCGGCATAGAATAGGCCACCCCTTCTATTCCCGTGGGTGTCGTAAGAGGCGACAAAGAGAGGGCGAGGGATAGGCAGTAACGTCCCTCTTAAAACATTTCTAAAGCCTAACTGCGATTGTCAATCCGACTGCCAAGCGTAGCAACTACTGGCAATATCCCCCTAGGGGGAGGCTTATGTTAAACAGTGGACAGTTAAAGGCTGATATGATGATAGATATTATTACCAGTGGTTCCAACATAGACTTACCAGAGGAAGACTTAGTACAAAAGTCGATTGCTTGGATACCTCTGTCCCATTCGTGTTTCAACCGTGAAGCAGTTGTGTTTGCATGGCTATGTTTCGGTTTGAAGGGCGTGATGATATGGCGTGAATTTACTGGGTACAGAGGAATAACACCTGAGTCCTCAGGAATGGCAACGCATAGGGGGTATCATGGGCGAAACAGTATACTCTGTTATGTCTATGATAGTGCTCATGTCTATAGGCGACGGTTACCACTTTACATCAGGTGGGCCGTCAGCTTGTTTGCCATTCTAAGTTGTATAAAAAAAAAGACTATATCGTTCCTTTTTTTCCGTAGGTTTCGTTAGGGGCGACTAAAGGGACTTAATGCTCGAGGGAGGAGCAGCAGCGTCCCTGTTTAAATATCACCAAAACCTAAATGCGGTTACCAACCCGTATGCCAAGCGTGGTAACTTATACAAAACTCCCTTATGGGAGAGGTCTACTAAAAATAAGTGACAGCTAATGGTTGATACAAAGGTGACGATGATCGCGATGATGATGATGATGATAGATATTACTGTAAAGGCCTAAAAATTTTAATAAATAATGTAGTTGAAATTTAATTACCTATATTAATATTAGAAACTTGTAAGTTTATTGTTTCTTGACACCTTGATTGCTGCGCTATTTGTCATGGAATTTCACATAATATAAGCATTTACTATCATGCATGGATAGTTGGAGACAAAAAAAATAAAAAATTTTGACGTTGTACTACAAAAGTATCTATTTTTTTTTGAAGAATTGATTATTCACGATTACAAGGACGAGGGAAGGGTACGGATGTAAGTGATATCAAACACGCCATAGGTTTGCTTCCGTACCCTGTCCATGATCACACCGGCGCGTTATCGTATGGATGGGTGACTTCTTAAAGTTTACTCTGGTGTTAAGCCTTTTGTGCTAATGATAGCCTTATTTTTCAAAATAAATTTCATACAAAAGATTCAAGACATACTATTTGAACTAAAAAGCCTATTAGTGAATTCAGTTTCTAATCCAAGACTTTTTCCAGTTGCAAAACTCACTGTTAAGTGTTAAAATACTAAAAAAAAAAGTTTCACTGTACCTTATGTTGGTAATCCTACAAATAAATAAATAGAGAAGGCCTATGTTCAGCAGTGGACAGTTAACAGTTAAAGTACAGTTAAGCTATGATGATTATGAAGTAATAAAATCGTAGAAGACTCAACGTTTTAATTCCGTCAAAGAAAAACTGACAATTAATAACTAGTTTCAACATTACAAATAAACAAACGTATAAAAAGTCTTTTACTCTTTATTATATTTATACAGAAAACTAGCTTTATTTTTGGATGTTACACTAAAAATAAAAATTATTTCACTTTTATTTTTTTATTATTTATATGTTTTTGTAGTTATAGTATATAACAAAAAAAAGTACACAGACGGATTTATCACTTAAAGAGATTTCTTCTCGTCAACCTTGAGAACCTGAAACGAGGAAGTGTCAATTGGGTATTTATATAAAGTATAACATATTTTTATCTCTTTAGATTCTAACATGCAATGATGAATTTCTTGGTTTAGGTATAAGAGACTTTTCGTGGACAATTTAATTTATTAACAGACTTTATATTTGCTTCTCTCATTCAACGTTGCACTATCTTGCTGTGAAATATTCATTTACTAATTATGCTTTTTTTATTTTTAGATACATCTCGACAAGTTGAAGCTCAGCACACATCAATGTAAGTTTTAACTGTAATTTTATATTGTAACTAATTATAAGTCATTGATATAAAATATTAATTGTCTTTCCATTGCTAAAAATAGGCATCCCACATAGACTGTCATAAGGAACGGTCTTGAACCACCGACATCCACTGACTTCCTGCAATGAATTTGAGGTCGTCACTCCATCTAGTTGTCTTACACTGCTTTTGCCTATATGAAGTCGCCACTTAAGACTCTTCTCCATCGCTTGTTGATTCATTGAGCGTTGACCGCTATTGCCTTTTGAGCTTATCCTTCGGGATGTGTCAGTCATTTTGGTTCTTAAGTGGATATTCTAATTTCGGATTCTGTTACGAAAAGAAACTCCAAGCATAGTTCTCTCCATATAAGGTCAACCTCCACGCGGTTCCCCCTGGAAACTATCGTGACTAATTTATCATTGAATTCGTCACGATAGACTAACTGATCTACCTTTTCATCTTTACCTATCACCCGTCACTGGTGCCCCGCCAGTGGATACCGTTAGCGCAGGCGGGGTTAACATTTCCCCTTTATCATCCATTAAAAAAAAGTTCTCTCCATAGCTCGCTGAGTAACTTGAAGCAAACGGGCAATCGTGAAGGACCAAGTTTCGGTTTCTTTGGACATTACTGGTAAAATACATTTCGTCTTCAAACTTTGAGGTATTATTAACCGACTTCGAAATAAAGAAGGTTCTGAATTTAGTCGTATTTTTTCAATGTTTTTTTACCACACAACTTCGTCAGTTCTAATCCAATTTCGAAAATACTTTTTTTATCTGAAATTCAATTTAAAATTATTTTTTTTTAATCAAATAAACTTGTTTACAAGCACTTTTAAATAGTTTTGTTTTTTTTTTTTTAAATCTTGTACAAGGTTCGCAAAGTTATTATTTGATAGAAGAGCCCGCAAGAAACTCAACAGTTACTTTGTCAAATCTCTGTTCTATTGTCGTGTTCATTATGTCTTTCACATATATTTAAATGTACTGTGTCTAAATTTATATGGTCATTAAATAGCCCATACATTTGTTTTTATGCGACTTAGAAAGGCAAACAAGCTGTCGGCCCACCTGTTGGAAAGTGGTAACCGTCGCCTATAGACATGAGCAGTACCATTGACATAACAGAGTATACTGTTTCGTTCATGATACCCCCCATGTGTTACCATTCCTGAGGACTCAGGTACCCTGTAAATTCACTGTCATATCTCATCCTTCAAATTGAAACATAACCATGCAAACACAACTGCTTCACGGTAGAAACACGAATGGAACAGAGGTGATATGATTGACTAACACGATGCACATTTGTCATTACAGTAATCGTTTAGTATAATCATAGTATCGTAGTAAGATCAAATTTAACATCTTTATAATATTCTTATAGTTTATATATATAACAACCTTCTCTAGTTAAAACTTTTAATATAAATCCGTGCATATGAACGACAATGATATGAATCTCGGCCTTTCTGCTTTGTGCAACATAAATTTCATTGAAATAAACATCTGGAAAATATTCAGTATCGTTCATACAATTCGAAATGCACTGAATACCGGCTGTTTTTTTACATTTTAAACGGACTTTCATGAAAGCTCCCGTGCCGCTGCATAAAATTCGTAACTTGCTTACTCGTGTGCATTTAAAAAGTGAGTACTGTTATGATTTGTTTTTTTTTTATATATTGTAATATTTCAAATTGTACATGTTTCCGACATATTACAAAAAGAGAGAAATTTTGAATTTAACGTAGTTTTTATTAGGCGATATCATTGCTAACATATTTATTAATTTTTAACTATAACATTTAAGTCGATTGGTACACATGTATGACTGTAACTACTAATAAACTGTCAGTTTATCTCATATCGGGTTTGTTGAAAGAAATCTCTTTTGGAGATAAGCTCGCTCCTTTGCACTATCATGTTTAATTGTTTTTCTGATATACTTCCTTTTTATATACTCGTATATAAAAGGATAAAAAATACAGTAATTTTGATGGTTGTTTTTGTAAACGACAGGTTTTTCTCCTATTTATAAAATTAACTATCTGTCTACATCGACTTTACATGACTTATAATGATAAAAATGAGACCAAATCTGCTTTTCACATTTATTGTATTCTCACTCGCTCATTTGTTGTGTATAGATTTTTAACACAAATTTTTCACTCATCTATACGTTTTTTATGTATTGTCTTTTATACAAACCTTATTCTGACAATTACCAACACAAGAAATAATAATTAGCCAAATACCTAAGTGCAATAATTTTGAAGTAATGCGTTTTTTTTGATGGGTGAAAATGATATGGTAACCCCGCCTGCGTTAACGGGATACGCTGGCGGAGCACCAGTGAAGGGTGATAGATGAAAATGAAAACAGGCCAGTTAGCCCATCATGATGAATTCATCAGGAATTAACCATGATAGTTTCCAGGTGGAACCGCGAGGAGGTCGACCTGGTTGGGTATATTGATAGCAATGGGATTCTCAGTCTCCATTACTAACAATCCCTTTCCCCCTGAAGTAATGCGTTTACAAACGTATTCATTGGTTGGTTGCATTTTTTATGTTTCTTTATTCTTTAATGTACACAAAAAATTACAAACATATAATATATATTAAATAAAGATGTACAACAGGCGAGCTTAACTCTGTAAGAGTTCTTTTCCAACAAACCATGAGTGGAAAGGAGCATTAATTACAAACGGGCAGTGTGCGTACAATAATAGAAGGAAACAGTATAGTTTTTTCTATTAAGAAATAATAAATATGTTGACATGTGTACAAAGTCATATAATTAAAATCAAAATACATACACATCTGTATATAATAATACTCATACATATATACTATATATATACATATATACATAAACATAACTTCGTACTTAAGTTTTAAACAGATTTGGATTCTTTTAGTATCTGAAAGCATATACTTTAGTTCTATAGAAATTTTATTGAAATCAATTTAGTAGTTTAGTTTTTAAATTAAAATAACTGGTTTTGTCATAATTAAGGTCAGTGTTTTTTTTGGGCACCATTTTTTTATTACAAATAATGCTGTGTCTAGTCTGTGAACAAATTTTCAAGTTTTTACCTGCAACTTCGCTAAATTGATTGGAATAGATACATTAATTGTCATATTCGATACAAAAAAAAAATACTTTTTAGGAAAAACTTGTTTTCTATTTTGTAAAATATTATTGAAAATATAATTTTTTTATATAGCTTTATCTTTTATATATTTATAAAGCATTTTATGTATTTTCTTTATTTTATGTGTTTGCTTTACATGAATTACTCAAGCTGTGCACATAATGTTCTCTTAATTGCATTATAACCTAGCCGAATCACAAATATAAATACTATTTAAGTTTTTTTAGTTCTGGTAGTGATCTGTTTTATGTGTCAATAAAACAAAATAAAAATGTATAAAATTAACCTTGATTAAAAGTAGCTGATATCCTACATTTCATATACTATATATATATATATATATATATATATATATATATATATATATATATATATATATACGACGATCAGTTGAACCGTTAGACATCAAATAATAAACAAACAAATCACTCAATAAATATACGTAAATCAATATCTAATAAAATTTGTTTTCGCAAATTAAACAAAGTACCCATACAAATGAGTAACTTCAAATACTTGAGTGTGGTTATAATCTGGCAGATTTTGTAGGGTTTATGGGGTTAGGGATAACAGGATAATGGATACTGACAGGGATTATGGTGTCGTACGACGACCGCCTACTGTACCACGCCATAATTGTACTCTACACTTTAGAACCCTCTTTATCCAATTTCTGACAGAACACACTTTTCAAATCTCCAGTATATATTATGTCCTTCTAAACTAATAATATAAAGTTTTATTTGTTAGTAAAAAAAAAAATACTTAAACAGCAGAAAGCTACATTATTAGCAAGTTACATGGACTAGATTTTATTTAAAAAAATAAGAGATCTTTTACGCACCTATCTGTACAAAGCCTGGTTGCTAGTCTATACTTTTATACTTATAATAATATTATAAATAAAAAATTTCAACAAATCTGCGGAGTAGTATTAAGATACCCTTGTCTGATTTCTCGTCAGTTGTTTACCTATCCATGTCAACATTGTTTATAATTTTAGACACAACTCACCTATCGTCCTATGTTACATTAATAATCGCATTAACATTTCAAAGCAACACGTTTTATTCATGTATTCTCGAAAGTCAAAACACATAAATAAGTTACAGGATCAAATGTAAGTATTCAGTTTAACCGAAATATTTTAAATGAAATGAAAACTAAATAAATATAATAATAAAAAAAAAAATAAACACATTGGACATATCGTCATAGTCGTAGAATACTGACGGATCTTTATATGTAATATTTGTCAGATCCGTTAGTATTCTACGACTATGACGATATATTTAAAGTCTTTATTAGTTTGTATCTTTGTCATTGACTATTAATTATTAAGTAAGGATAAGCAAGAAGTGGCAATGGGCTGGTCACATAGCTCGAAGAACCAATAACGGATGGGGAAGAAAGTTTCTTGAGCGGTGAGTCCATACGGGTACGTGCAGTGTAGAACCCCTACTAGTTGGAGTGATGGCTTTAAATGCATTGCAGGGAGTCAGTGAATGCAGGTGGCTCAGGACCGTTCCTTATGGCAGTCTGTAGAGAAGACCTGTGTTTAGCAGAGGACAGGTAATGGCTGAAATGATGATTAATTATTACAAAATTATTTACAATATGATTTCAACGGGAATGATATACGGAAACTACATAGAAGCGGACAGAGCAGCGGGAAACGGCTAGTAATAAATACATATATTAAAGATACTAAATACTCGCCATATTTAGATTGATGTGCAAATTTAAAGCTCCAGATTAATACATAAACAAGTTAATACCTTCCTGGGATTTAAGTTGTAAATTTTAACATAGTAAGAGCTCATATTAACTCGAGTCTGACACGACCTGTCTGGTTTGCCTTCCATCGTTTTACATGTGCCTGTCAATATCTATTGTTGATAATTTTACATGGCAATCATGTCTTAGATCATATAGATGGAATGAATGCCTCTATAGAAATACTTAAAAATTGAGTCATCTTATTTACCCACTTATTCGTGAATTAGAATAAAAAAAATTACAAATATATATATATTTGAAAGAATAGGGTAAACAGACCGTAATTATGCTGATTTGTTACTTTTATTTTTATCTAAGAATAGACTTGTGTTCATATCAAAAGTAGCTGCCATTTTAATTAATAATATATTTAAACAGTAAATAATAATATTTATTCATATCATTTTACAGCTTATGAAAAATTTTTACATTATAATCTTTATATTAAAAAACCGTCCAGTTCGGTATATAGATCAATTGAGAAGAACTTGGCAACACTGAAAATGAATTAGTTTTTTTTTTTAAAAAATTTATTTACAATGTATATTTATATAGGTGTCTATGTCTAACATTAAAGTTCAGTCTTTGAACAGTCATTCATTCAAATGTATCAAGTAATCGTTTAGTGAAAAGGCTTTTTTTTTTAAATTGTTTAAAACAAATAAAAATTTATTTAACAATAGTTGTTTATTCCAACATATCCTTTGGTATCTTAAAATTTTACAAAATTCCCATAAAACTGACCTATTATACTTTTTCTAAACGATACTATATAAGCAAGTTTGTCTATAAATCTATATAAAATTATGAATATTGCTGTTTTTTGGAAACAAACGTCACGATTTTTATGAACATATAAATATTTGAATATATAAATACGTCAACGTCACAAATTCAAATTGAACATTTCATACAGTAGATCGCTGGAACGGCACGTTTTTGTAATTAATATATTCTTAATATATGCATTTTAACCGTTGTAATATTCCATAAGAGTTTGCGTACGAAAAATAACTAAAATAGATTCTAGCATTTCATTGTGTTTGTTTTTACGAAAATATATTTAAATATAATATAAATAATAAATAATATATTTATTTATATCAATACAGAAAAAAAATCTTTCTAAATCTAATTAAAAAAACCGCACTGATTTGGGAAATTTTCAACTTAATTACTTGCAACACTGAAAATGGCGCGAATAGTTTTTTTTAAAAAAAATATTGTAATGGATACCTAATCTATGATAGCTCTGTCTATAACAGTCAGTCTTTGTAAGTCATTCATTCAAATGTATCAACGCAATATAGGAAAAGTTTGTTTTTTTTTTACTAATTGTTTAAAACAAATAAAAGTTACTTGAATAATAGTTGTTTACTTAACATTCCAAATATTACAAAATGATCGACTCAATACTGAGCTGTATTGATACTCGATGCCCCATCTATATAAGCTAAGTCTGTAATCCTATATTAAATTTATAATCACACTAACAATTCAAACAAACGCACGGATTGTCTGCTCAAAGTCCTAACACATAAATACGTCAAGTCACAAATTCAAATTGAACATTATATGACGATAACTGCCAGAATTTCATTAATTTAATTTTTAGTTAAAATCCGTTGTTAAACTACGCCTTTTTGACCATCTCTAATTAGATAATTTATCTTCTATATTTATTTAAAAACTTTAACGTGTTCAGTTGATTATTTTTTTGATGTTTTTTTGGACGGTTGGGGGGAGGGGGAAGGGATTGTTAATAATGGAGACTAAGAATCCCTTTGCTAGCAATATACCCAACCAGGTCGACCTCCTCGCGGTTCCCCCTGGAAACTATCATGGTTAATTCCTGACGAATTCATCATGATGGGCTAACTTGTCTGTTTTCATTCTCATCTATCGCCCTTCACCCAGTTAGCGCAGGCAGGGTTACCATGCCACTTTCACCCATAAAAAAAAAACCGGAATGGTGTTCTCTACCAGTCAACCATTAGGCAAACCAAGAAATACGTAGGCGGTGCGTTATTGAATAGTAATAAAGCGATATATTCATTAATATAAATATAATCCTAATCTATATATATATATATATATATATATATATATATATATATATATATATATATATATATATATATATATTCTGTACAGTTTATAATGATCGGACAGGGTTTCAGTTTTGTAATTTATGATACGGATGATATTTAGTAGATTATATATTTAGTACATAAGAACTGTAATTATGAACTGTCATATACACTGACAACTGACAAGGTGTTTAGCATTACATTACATTTAAAATAATGCTTGCATATTTCCAATGTAATGTGTCTTCACCCCTTCATTTCCCGTGGACCACGTAAGAGGCGATTAAGTGAACTTAATGGTAAAGAGATAGCAGCAGTGTTCCTCTTAAAACATTACCAAAGCCTAACTGTGGTTGCCCATCCGCCTACCAAGCATGACCACTGCTGGCCCCTTATTAGTGAGGCCTATTCTCAGCAGTGGACCATTATCGAATGATATGATGATATTTCGAAATGTTTTACAAGTAAAATTCTTTTTTTTTATACAACTTAGAATGGCAAACAAGCTGACGGCCCACCTGATGGAAAGTGGTAACCGTCGCCTATAGACATGAGCAGTACCATGAACATAACAGAGTATACTGTTTCGCCCATGATACGCCCATGCGTTGCCTTTCTTGAGGACTCAGGTGTTATTCCTCTGTACCCAGTAAATTTACGTTATATCCCACCCTTCAAACCGAAACACAGCCATGCAAACACAACTGCTTCGCGGTTGAAACACGAATGGGACAGAGGTACCCAAGCAATCGACTTTTGTACAAAGTCTCCCTCTGGTTTCACCTTAAAAACACCAATTTCAATTGTCACAGAATTAACATGAAACCAATATTGAGAAAATTCGTTTAGAATTAGTGGCGTAATCGGATCAAATAAATTGACTTCCTTTTTTGAAAGGTTTCACGTTAACCATTTGAGTATAGAAATCTAAAAAGAGTTTTAATTAATAGAACGTTATTATTTACTGTTATTTTATTAATAAGAAGCTATACAAATGTTATATTTATTACAGAACCAGCTCCCACAGGAAAACGAAGCGAAGAGTAAGTGCCTTTCAAGTCGCAACGTCCAGGCTTCTCGGTGAGTTATGTGATTGTAACATGAAAGATTTTGTAACACATTCTGTTTCAATGCAACCTAATGAAAAAGTAAACAACATTCATTGAAATTATCGCATAAACACCGCCTAAATAAAACCAGTTTCTAACAAAAGTCCATTTCAGTATTATTTTCCCGTGTTTTCTTTTCATTTTCCACTTTTATACTCTCCGTTTGTATGTGTGCTATTAGTATGTGTATATTTGTTTATATATGTATATACATATGTATATATGTTTGTATATATTAGTATATATATAATGGTGCGCCACCTACCCTTTCTCTTTTTCCCAATGTCCTCTACCCAAATATTGTCTGCAAAAGATTGCTTAGCGATAAAGCCTCCTTTTGTATCACTTCTCAGTAGAATTAACTGTATTTATTATTTTATAATGATGCAATAAAGTGTAAAATAAATAAATAAATTAGTAACAACGAATCATTAGATCAATGAATTGGTTTTTATTGCCGAAAAAATATATAATGTGTACACTGGATGACTGAATTTGTATAAATTTTTGTCAGCTAAAGTAACATTTGGCGGGCTGAATCTTGACTCATTTTTGTCACCTGATGCTTTATCTTGTAGAATCATTATCATATCAGCCCTTAATGATCCACTGCTGAACATAACCTAAGGGTTTGCCAAGCATAGCAAGTACTAGCAGAACCTGGCTATATAAGTATAGCCAGGTTCTGCTAGTACTTGCTATGCTTGGCAGGCGGATTGGCAACCGCAGTTAGGCTTTAGAGATGTTTTAAGAGGAACGTTGCTGCCCATCCCTCGCGTTCCCTTAGTCGCCTCTATTACTCACTCACGGGTAGTGAGGGTGTGGCTTATTCTATGCCGGGACCATATGGACAATGACGAAGATGTACATTCATCTTGTAGTATATAGTAATACAGTAATACCTCGACTTACGCGAACCCGTAATTACGCGTTCTTAAAATTTCGTCAATTTTATTGTTTGAATATCACACAAATCGAGATTACTTACATTTTATCCACATTGTTGTTAAGCTAAGGACCATATCCGAAGGTATCCTGCAAAATAGACACAATTAGGCCAGGAGCTTACAGAAAAGCGTTAACGATTATACCCCGACTTACGCGAACTCGACTTACGCAGTTATCGTTGACTCCTACCTATCGCGTAAGTACGAGATATGTCTGTAGTTATATTACAATGTGGTAGAAGTTAAATTACGATTGAGCTCAAAACGTATTAAGATGCGACTACTCGTAGTACACGACGTGTATAAAATAAATTACATTGGCAATGTTACAATGTAATCACAGCAGTTAACGGTTTATTAGTAGTTAGATTTTATGGCAGTAAATTTACAAGGTATCTAATCTGGGTTAAGATTTTTATAGTCGAGAACGTAATGTATGTTAAGTATTATCTAACGTTCCATGTGGTCCCGGCACAGAATAGGCTATCCCTTCTTTTCTTGTGGATGTCGTAAGAGGCGACTAAAGGAACTTACGATCGAAGGATGGGTAGCAACGTCGCCCTTAAAATATCTCTAAAAGCCTAACTGTCGTTACCAAGCTGCCTGCCTAGCATGGCAACTATTGGCAAGACTCCTCTTATAGGGTAGACTTATGTTCAGTTGTGGACAGTTAACGGTTGAAATAATAATAAAATTAACTGAGAAAAAGAGAAAATATCTCGACCTGGCTCACGAGGTGACCGAAATGTGGGGGGTGACATCCACCGAAATCATTCCAATCGTTATGTCGGTGAACGGTCATATCCCAATCAGTCTGGAACAATATCTCAGACAGTTGGGATTCCGAAGCGGCTCATTCCCGGGAAAGATGCAGAAAGCGGTGCTCTTAGATTCTGCCCGCATTATACGCCGGTTTCTCTCCCTGGGGCCCTGAACCCCGGCCGACTGTGCTTTTGCCGGGGGTTAGTTTGCCATCTCCTCTCCTTAAAAGGGGAGACGTGAATTTTCTAAAAATTAATAAAATGTGATTCGAAAATCCAAGTCCTTTCTAAATATTTTAAAATCTCTAATTAGATATCCCCACACATTACACGTAAGCGAAGGATTAGTATGAAAATTAGTAGACCGTTCATTTGTATTGTAATATATTATACACAAGTGCATTACCGGAATAACAATGTATTCAATGAATTAATAATTGCTATCTGAAATGTGGTTTGTGTATTTCACCTCTATGTGGTTCATAATAATAGACAGATACAAAATTATATATACAGAACGTTAATTCATATAGCTTATTGTTATATATTATAATTTGTTATATATTATAAGCTGTTTTTATTGTGTTATATATTCAATTTTTTTTTACTGGGTATTATTTAGTTTATCTTTAATTGTACGGTTATTACCCTTATACATTCTACAGTTTTCTTTCAGCTTCTCAAAGGTTGACTGTAAGAGATCCCTTTATGGGATAAGTCCGCCATTGTATATTAAATCATTTACCAGTGTTTAATCTGAGTTATGTACAATAAAGATTTTTACAATACAATACAATAATTTATTATTATGTTATGTTAATATATATTTATTTAGGATCACCAACATAAGATAGAAAAGCGAAACATTACAATACATTATACTGCATAGAACAGTTAGCTGTAATCCACACGGCTAACTGTTCTTACATTTAGAGGCAACCACAGCAGGCTTTGTGTTTAAAAAATATTAAAATGGAATTGAATTATTAAATGGCATCAAATTAATAAAAACTTTAATAATTTACATTCATTAGGTGACACCCAACAATTTAAATTACTTGAATTAAATATATATTATTAATTATATATATATATATATATACATACATATATATATATATATATATATATATATATATATATATATATATATATATATATATATATATATATATATATATATATAACTGTATTTCTTCTCTCTTCTTTCAAAATCTACCTAGCATGTTAGATTGCAAATGGATAGCGGGTGAGCCTATTGCCGTCGCAAGGAATAAAATATTTCGTTAACAGTGTTTTCCATAACCAGATAATTAGTTTGGCATTTATATTAATACAAAAAATTCTAACCACCAGACTCGAACTCACGACTTTTGTGTTCTAATCGGTGTAATATATTATACCACGTTAGAGTGATAAAGCCATGTTTTCTATATCATCTCTCTTACTAAGGGAATATGTTATGATCTATAATGATATATTTTTTTCAGATATCAAAACGTACAGACACAAAAGAGATATTGGGCCTGGGAATGTGGTTATTACACAACACTTCAGCGATAAATTTGTTACTCCAGGAGAAGACGTAAGTAATAGGTCTCTATTTTATGTAAATAAAAAAAGATTTTGTGTTAAAGAACTCTTCAACGATATCGATAGGGGCCGCCCTAGATGGACGTATGTTGACCAAATAGGCGACGTGCTGAAGAAGGGCCAAATTAAAAGTACCCGTAACCGGCGAGCGTCTATGAAAAGATTGATGAATGTGGAAGAAGCGAAAGAGGTTTGTTTGAATCGAAGCATTTGGCGTTCCATTATTTCTGCCTACCCTAATGGGAGACAGGCGTGACAGATATGTATGTATGTAACTCTTCAACGTGTTGCATCCACCTTTTATCATTACACTGCTCGCCATTGACTGGAAATCCATCTTCATACCCTAAAACTAAAATGGTCACACGCAGTGCTGTTTCAAAGGAGCTTCCACTCAGAACACTCAAGTTGTGGAATGACTGAAGATGTCAAAGATTTTTCTCAGAGACTACAGTATGGGGTTCTTCCAAAAGTGTGTATTAAGGTTTCTTCAGGATTGGCAACGTGCACGTGATACCCTTAGTGTTGCAGACGTTCATAGGCTACAGTGACTGTTTACCATGAGAGGGATTGTATGCTTGTTTGCACCTTTGTGATGAAAAAGAATTTTTTTTATGACAAAATTTTTATTTATTATAAATATGTCTGAGGGTAATCTTTCGAAACAGTATAAGTGTGTAGTAAGTATTAAATATTCTATTCTTTTATTAACCCATGACGTCTCACTGCTGGGCAAAGGTCTTCCCCATCTCCTTCCAAAACTCTTTGCCCTGCGTGATCTCAAACCAGTCCCTCTGAAATGCGTCTAAATCGTCATGAAGTGTGTATAAATAATAAAAAACATTTTATTATAAACTCAGTGGAAGAAAGTGTCCTACTTTATTTAAAATAAAATAACGTGGAGCTAGATTTGCAGGAAACGGCCAATAGTTTTATTTTATTTTAAAAATAATGCCTTATTTAATACCATCTGCATAGTCAAGAAGTTTTAATAGCAGTATGCATTAATCTTGTTTATATTTTCTCCAATCCAAATTAATTTTATATTTTCTTCTATCTAAAATATTAAGAACTTAAAGTACTTAGGAAGTATAATAACAGAGGACGCTAGGTGTTCGTTTATTATTATATCTAGAATAACAATCGCAAAACGTTGCAAAACGCAATTGCATCTTACTCTTATCCCAATTATTATTTGTTGTCAGCGTAATATGTAACAAAAAATTTATTTTTACATCAAAACTATCAAAAATAATCCGTAAGAAAAATATAAAAATTTAGATTCGGAGCGTAGTCTTATACGGGTGTAAAATATGGACAATACGAGTAATGCAAAAGGAAAGATAGATGCTTGAGGCATTCGAAATGTGGACATGGAGGAGAATGGAAAAAATAAGCTGGACAGAAAAAAGTAACGAATGAAGAAGTCTTAAAAAGGACAAATAAGAAGAATACGATAATAAGAACAATATAGAATAGAAGAGGCAAAATTATGGGGCATCTTATACGACATGACGATTTTTTGAAGAGCACATAAGAAGGAATAGTAGAGGGTAAAAGAGAAAGGGATCGAGAAATATCTACATGGGACAGATAAAGGAAATATATTGTATAAGGAGGTCAAAGATATGGCCTGGAATAGAGCAGGCTGGAAGATAATGCATATTATTAATAACAATATTCAATTTATATACAATTACAATTTTGTTATAATTATTTTTTTTTTTATACAATTTAGAATGGCAAACAAGCTGACGGTCCACCTGATGAAACGTGGTAACCGTCGTCTATAGACATGAGCAGTACCATGGACATAACAGAGTATACTGTTTCGCCAATGATACCCCCCATGCGTTGCCATTCCTGAGGACTCAGATGTTATTCCTCTGTACCTTGTAAATTCACGCCATATACCATCCTTCAAACTGAAATACAGACATGCAAACACAACTGCTTCACGGTTGAAACACGAATGGGACAGAGGTACCCAAGCAATCGACTTTTGTACAGTCTCCCTCTGGTAAATATGGAAGAATTAAAATAATAAGAAATAAGTAACAATGATTGATACAAAGTAATCCTGGATTTACAGATTGTCTTTTTTATCTCTCTTTCACAACTCTAAATACAAGGCCAAATGTATGAATATATATCAAAAAAATTAAAACTAACTTGAAACGCCCTTTTCTGTATTTTCTAACTGAAAATAATATTACATTGTATTTCTTTTTTGCTACGTCTACAATTTATTAGTCTTGCTGACTACAGTAAGCATAATTCTTAATTTGCTTAGTAGAATAATAAATTTTAATACTGCGACTTTGCGTTAGATAACTTTACGAAGTTTCGTATAATTGTTCTTTCTGAATAATAAATTATATCAGTATTTTAAAATCAAAAAGTTTAAGTTAAGTTTAAGTTTAAGTAGTAATAATTGTATTATTTAAAGTACATGTATATAAGAGGGAGACTTGGTACAAAAGTCAATTTCTTGGGTCTCTCTGTCCCATCTGTCCCATTAGGCCATCCATATATGTATATTTGTCATGAAGCAGCTGTTGAGCATATCCGTACCATATCTGTCGTTAACTGTTCACTGCTGAACATAGTCTTCCCCTATTAGGAGAGGAGAGGGGTTTGCCAGTAGTCGCCACGTCAGGTATTTTGGTTTAAAGGGTAAGATATGGCAGTAAAATTACAGAATACGGATGCATATCATCTTAATCCACAGTCTAGGAATAGCATCACTATGATATCCATGGTGCTGGTGCACGGTTACCGCTTTCCATCAGGTGAGCCTTCAGCTTGTTTGCCATTTTATGTTGCATTAAAATATGCGTATTTTATTTATTATTCATTAGCAATAAATCTAATTCATATCATTTGGATTAGTGCCTGCCCTCCACCGTAAACTTCTGTAAATACCTTCTTCCACGCCCAACCAAACAATAGGACCTACTCAGCAGCAATATTTCCAAATAGATACAACAATGAAACCTTCAAGAAAAGAGTAACTCGCTACAAACTTAATTTCAATTCCAACTATCTGGATGAGTGGCGATCCTCCACTGTGCGTTTTTCAAGACACTTTCTTCCACGCACATCTATGTTTTAGAATCAACTTTCAGCAGCAGTATTTCTAAGCTAAAAAAAGCATATTTCTTTGATGTTGCGAATGCCTTTGGGCGGTGGTAATCACGTACCAATAGGTATGCCAATGCTCGTTTGCTCTCTACGAGGTTTGTCCGGAAAGTTCGTATAAAAGTGTTCTGGAATGCGAGAAAGAGGAGTAGGTAAGCGCAGACCGCCGTGCGGTGCGAACTGGCTTGTCAGTCTGGAAACCCCGTCGGCATGGAGCCTCCAAGAGCTGTCGCAAGTTTTCTCGAAGGCACAAATTTTTGCCGATTTCGATAAGACATCCAACCACGCAAAAAAATCAAGAAAATCCCGCTCAAATGTCAAGACAATTTGATTGTTTTTTTCGAATTGTCCATCAACTTTCCCTCCAGCAGCAGTATTTCTAAGCTAAAAAAAGCATATTTCTTTGATGTTGCGAATGCCTTTGGGCGGTGGTAATCACGTACCAATAGGTATGCCAATGCTCGTTTGCTCTCTATGTTAAAAAAAAAATACGTGCTTTAATTTGATAGATAATGATGGTTTGCTTTTAAATGTTTTTCAGATTAGTTTGCAGTGTACAGCGACAGCTGACAGGCCTCCAAGATTCTTATGGGAGCGAGATGGTGTAGTTATATCTTTGAATACAGATTCTAGGTAAGCTATTGCTGATTTAATAAAAGTTTTGGCAAATACTAGATTTATAATTATATTTATTATTATTATTAATTAATTTTATATATTTATGAAAATATATATCATGGCAGAATATAGCATATATTAGCCTTATATTAGCCGTTAATTTTTCATTGCTGAACATACGCCTTCCTTTATTGGAAGGTTTTGCCAGTAGCTGCCATGCTTGGCAAGGGGTTGGCAACCGCAATTAGGCCTTAATATGATTTAAGAGGGACACTTCTGCCTATCTCTTTTATTCTCTTTTTATCTGAAAGGATATACTTTCAGATCTAAAGAATAGAAATTTTATTAAAATTGGATGCAGTAGTTCTTTAGTTTTTAAAACGATGTAACTGGTTTAGCTACGAATCAAGTTAGTTTTTTTTTTTTTGTGGAACATGTACTAAATTTTGTTTGAAACATTATTTTCAGATATACAGTAGGTCAAGTTATGTCATCATCAGGTATGGGGGTTGTGTCACATTTAAACATATCAAGGACGAGAGTGGATGACGGGGGACTTTACTCTTGTGTTGCTATCGAAGGAGATACTAAATCTAACCATGAAGCAAGAATAGATATTTATGGTAAGTATTTTTACATAACCATTTTTTTTACAACACAGGGGCAAACGAGCATGCGGCTGACCTGATGGTACGTGACTACCGCTCATGATCACCCACAACACCAACGGCATTGCAGGTGTGCTGCCGGCCTTTTAAAAAGGAATATGCTCTGTTCTTGAAAGTTTACTATTTTCTTGAAGGTTGAACCTTTAATATTTTGTTTGTTTGTTCTCAATCGTAGCATATTGAATAATTTACGTTTTTTTTTCTTGTAAATTATTAATTTATCAATAATAATATCCCTGTGGACCAGTTTAATTATAATTACCAGAGGGAGACTTTGTACAAAAGTCGATGGCTTGGGTACCTCTATCCCATTCGTGTTTCAACCGTGAAGCAGTCGTGTTTAGATAGCTGTGTTTCGGTTTGAATAGAATAGAATAGAATAGAAATCATTTATTCAAATAAACTTACATTGAAGCACTTTTGAAAAGTCATTACATTTTTTTTAATTTACCGCTCGTTCGGAAAGCTGTCTCATCACAAGAAGAACGAGCAAGAAACTTGCGTGATGCTCTTTTAAATAATTTTATTATTATTTTACATTTTTAAGTTTAATTGTGTGAATACAAACCACCAATTAGCACTAATTCAATTAAATACTCAAAAAGATAAAAAAAATTGAATACATAACCAACTGGTTAAACAATTAATAAGAGGAAATCAGTCATAGTGATTAGAGCAGACCAGTCCCTACAAGCAGCACCCGTTCACGAGTATGACGGATGAGCCAGCCATCACTGCGCTCGACCATATTTTAGGGAGCCCAATGACCCGGCCCACCACGCCGCCACAAGTCTGGACATTTTAGTGAGCATGACTACTCAAAACACTAGACCACGTCAAAGCTACTCACAATTGCCATCTGATAGTTATAGTATTCACATTTTACATAAGAATGCATGCGGCAATTAATACAAAAAACCGCTACGCTTTCATATTTCTAAAATTAATCAATTAAATCAAGAAAGCAATGAGAAAATAAAATTATAACGTTGTATGCTAATAAACTAATTATTTACTTGATATGTTGTCATCTATGAATTCGTCTATCCTGTAATAGGCTTTCTTACATAAAAATTGTTTAATATAAGATTTGAATTGCCTCTCTGTCAGATTTAATGCAGATTCCGGCAGTTTATTATAAAATCTTATGCAATTACCATAGAATGAATTACTGATTTTGTGCAGACGGCATTTAGGTAAAATAAGCTTATTTATATTGCGTAAGTTGAAGGGTGGGATATGGTGTGAATTTACTGGGTACAGAGGAATAACACCTGAGTCCTCTGGAATGGCAACGCATGGGAGGTATCATAGGCGTAACAGTATACTCTGTTATGTCCATGGTACTGCTCATGTCTATAGGCGACGGTTAACACTTTTCATCAGGTGGGCCGTCAGCTTGTTTGCCATTCTAAGTTGTATAAAAATACAAGCAAGTCGTAACGTAGTCTGACGTAAATATATAAATACAAAATGAAAACCTTAATTATCTAACAGTATAAAATATTTTTTTCGGTAGAAGATTGTATAGCAATTATTATATATAATTATAGGTCCACCTTATATAAGAACATTGCCACCTATTAAAGTTCAAAGCGGAGAGGGACTTCACCTTAGGTGTCCATACTACGGATATCCTATAAGGTATTTTATTTTTTTAATCTTTAATACGTCATTTGTAAAGCTAGAAATATGTACATTTAAATAAAGAACGAAAAATAATTGTGTCTACAACTAATGTGGTAATCAAATGCATTTTTTTAAAGGGATTTTTTTTTGTTGGGTGAAAATAGTATGGCAACCCCGCCTGCGCTAACGGTATACGCTTGCAGAGCACCAGTGAAGGGTGATAGATGAGAATGAAAACAGCCCATCATGATGAATTCATCAGGAATTTGCCATGATAGTTTCCAGGGAGAGCTGCGAGGAGGTCGACCTGGTTGGGTATATTGCTAGCAATGGGATTCTTAGTCTTCATTATTAACAATCCCTTCCAACCCCCCCCCCCCCCTTTAAATGAATTACAATAGAATAGTATTTCAGACTGCGCTAGTGGTATGCACTGACGAGAGATCAATGAGTAATAGGTGAGAATAAAAGCAGGTCAGTTGGTTCACAATTATGAATACTACAGGAATTAACCGCGATGGTTTCCAGGGAGAACCGTGTGGAGGTCGACCTGAAAATAATCCGTTTCCTCCAATTAGTCGACTGCTGTCGTTATGTTGAAAATGTAACTCGATCGTGCCTACGTTTCGCAAAGCGTATTATAATCCAACGTGTGGGGAGACGAGCGTACTGCCGTCTCTCTAATTTGGTTTATTATTTGTGTTTTCCATTACCAGATAGTTAATTGGAAATTGACTGACAGTTTTTGGTATTTACAAGATTCTAACTCATGACCTTTGCGATCTATAAGTCAAGAATACTATTACTAGCTACCACACTGTAAATTCTAAGTTAAAACACAAATAATTTTAATTTGTATTTGAACTATAATACACTATTATATGTTTGTGTTTGTGGCATTTATATATGTAATCTCTCGCGTGGCTGTGTGACTTGCGTAGTGCATCGAGATTGTAGTAATGATTATATTATTAAATTCTCTTTGGGGACAGTCGTCCATTACGCTGCTTGTATATTATGTATAATTGCGTTTAATATTACATGTACTGCGTATGTTATCGGCATAATGATGGTACAAATTTGATTAACTAACTACAAAATTTAAATGAGGTTAATTAGTTTTAATTATATAGGTATTCTGCTTTACATGTTCTTGCAGTAAAAGTTTAATGACAATAGTAAACTGTTATTACAGCAAACTTGAATGGGAACATAAAGGAAAGAAAATTATCAGCACCTCGTTCCCACAACATACAAGATATAAGAGAACCTATTTCACAAATACGAGGAAACGTAGAAAAAGACAAATCTTTGAGCGAAGCGAAAATGGTGCTTTAAATATACAGAAAATAGTTAAGGAGGAGAATGGAGACATATATACATGTATAGTTTATAGTCCTTCAGGAGAAATGGCTAGACGGTAACTTTTTTAATTTTTTTTTTTTAAATATAAGTAATAAATTTCACAGACATCGTCATCTTAATATTGCCCGTTATCTGTCCACTGTTGTATGGCTTTCTCCATAAAATGATTTTAAAACTTCCTTCTTTTTGAAGTTGGTTGAAAATATGTGGTAGGTAATACTGAAATATGTAATATTCGAAACAAAATTGGATCTACTTAAATATATCTTGAGAATATATACATCATTAAGGATAATTTATAAAATTATTGGGCATTTACTGTAACTCAAGATTATTATGTTGTAAGGCCATGGTAACTACGTATTGCTAAGAAAATCAACAAATTTTGCTTGATTGTTTCTTTTGTTAGTATATATAATAGAATTATAGATTGGTTTACCAGAGGGAGACTTTGTACAAAAGTCAATTGCTTGGGTACCTCTGTCCTACTCATGTTTCTACCATGAAGCAGTTGTGTTTGCATGGCTGTATTTCGGTTTGAAGAGTGGGATATCGCGTGAATTTACAGGGTACAGAGGAATAACACCTGAGTCCTCAGGAATAGCAACGCATTGGGGTATCATGGGCGAAACAGTATACTCTGTTATGTCCATGGTACTGCTCATGTCTATAGGCGACGGTTACCACTTTCCATCAGGTGGGCCGTCAGCTTGTTTGCCATTCTAAGTTGTATAAATAAAAAAAGAAGCTATACATACTAACATAAATTATTTATTTTATATTTCAATTTCGTTTAGTGGTTAATAAAGGTAGCTGCAGTGTCCCTGTTTCCGTTTTCCCATAAATCTTTCATTACTTTTTATTAATGTTTTTTACTCACACCTAACGTCCTCCTTTCCTTCAGTACTTTCTTCCATACCGCAGTTGGCGAGTACCACCATCAAATGTATTCTGAAAGATAATTGGCATCAGAAAGACGGCCAGTCGTAAATTCAAAAGCCAAAACTTTATTTAATGTAAATAAAATACCTTAAAGCAATGTAATTTTTGTGTTCAATGAAGTATAAATAAATATATAAATAAAATCATAAATTTGATACCGATTTCAGATCGTTTGAAATCCAGGTGGTAGAGGCACCAGAGTTAGATGAACTTCGAGTCGGATCAGGACTAAAAGAGGGACAAATTGTGCAAATAACGTGTAACATCATCAGTGGTGATCCACCCATTTATTTTTCATGGTTGAAAGACGGAAAGAAGATTCCTGCTAGTTTAAAGGTATCTAACTTGTTTTTGATGATTGTTAATTCCAACTTGATGGAGCTCCATACAAAGTTGTATTTCCTTTTTATCTCTTCAGGTGACAAATTTTCAAAGATCTGCGTACATTTTGTTTTTATAGCTTTAGTAGTTTCGTTTTAATGAATCAATCAGAACTTTTGTTTATTCACATTTCTCTTTATTTAAAAGAACTTTTTTAATTTATAAAGTTCGTTAAAATACTAAACAGGTAGCTCGCAATGAAGAATATTATAAGTTTCCTAAATTTTAATTAATGCCAGGTTAATTAAAATGTTGTTTGCTTGTTTGTTCGAAAATTTGTTTTGTTTTCGAAGCTTTATTTATAATAAGTTTCTTTATGGAACAGAATATTTTAACTTTGTCAGTAAACAATAATATGTTAAATAATACTTTAATATTATTATGTACTTAAAGTGAATAATTTAAGATATTCTACAAATAACGTCGACTTCAATTACTTACTTGTTTTATCACACATTTTGATTTAAACACTAAACAACTATACCGATTTTAATAAAATTTCTATAAGACGAATTCGAAAGTGTATCCTCTCAGATAAAAATTCCTTTATAAATAACGGAATTTTAATGTAATAAAGATAAAAAATACAATTAAATAGAATACCTCTTTTTTTGAAGTCGAGTATTTTCTTTTTAAATATTATTCGTCGTTATTTAGTGTTGACCCGATTCAATAAAGGTCAAAGTAAACGGCATATATTAAAGAAGCCACAATTATATAAAACAATTTGTTTTAATGTAGATAATTTTACTGTTTTAAAACTCAGGTTTTAGAGTTATTTTTCGATTAAGTATAACAAAAACATGTTATATGTGATAGAATTTATATAAACACGAATGTAAGAACCCTGTTATCAACAGGATGCAAAGAGAATTATCAAAATCAGTTTATAAAAAGTGAATTGAAGCTGTCCTCGTTTTTAAAGTTATCTAAACTAGAACGGGACCAATGATCGATCCTTGTGTAACACCAATTACAGATAACAGAAAGGAGTGCGGAGCTTTTCAGCGTACTAATTATAAAACGTGTTTCATTGGAACATTGTGGTAAATACACCTGTATTGCAACCAATCACGTTGGAAAGGTCAATAAAACCACAGATCTGTACATAAACGGTGAGTACGATATTGCCTGACCTAATTATTATTGGATGGTTTAAATTATTGATCATACGAGAGTAATACCTTGAAATATGATATTATTCCATGTGTATCTACACTAGTATTATTTGAGGAGATTTGAAAAAGGAACATTTTGTCATTTTATATTACACTGGCGATTCGACTCGGATTCGTAAACTTAGATAGAAGTAGATAGAATTTTCGAACATAATATGTAGCCTATATTACTTTTTGATATTGTAACTTTTTATAGATGTAAGAATTTTTAAAATCGGTTTAGTTTTTAAGTTTATCCGATACAAACAAACAATCCAATATATCCTGTTTATATTATTAGTATAGATTAAATGCATTCCGTGATTTTTTCTTTGTGAACCAGTACATCCAGGTTGTCTGTAAGAGATTGCTTTTAGCGATAAGGCCGCCTTTTGTATATGCACATTCTGTATAAATACTCCTTGTATACATCTCTACTGTGCGCAATAAAGAGTTTATTATTTATATTATTATTATTACATTATATACGTGAGGATATAACTTATTCATATAGTAAATTTCATTCAAATTCTAAAGACTACATCATTGGAGTTATTTAAAAAGGGTATAGTAAGATTTCTTAAGTGTCGGCAACGGGTACGCGACATCCCTGGCATTACAGGCGTCCATAGGCGACAGTAGCCCAATTACCATCAGACGGGTCATATGCTTATTTACCACCATAATAGCATTAAACAAAAATAACGCGTGAAAAAGTAACAAGCAAACATCCATCCAAATGTCGCAATAAAATCGCATTTTACAATAGTAGTGGGAATGTAAGATTAGCTGAAAACGTAACTAAGTTCGTGTGATTGATATAAAAAGTATCAATGTACCTTTTCATTCCAAATATAGTATTTGGAATGAAAAGGTACATTGATACTGTTTACTAAAGTTCAAAATCATTAAGTGATTTATTACGACATCAAGGGGTAGAAATAAAAACAAAAAATACGAAAACGTATATTTTCACATTATTTTTTTTTTTAATAAAACTAGCGTAATATTAGCGTATTACTAGAGGGAGACTTTGTACAAAAGTCGATTGCTTGGGTACCTCTGTCCCATTCGTGTTTCTACCGTGAAGCAGTTATGTTTGCATGACTGTGTTTCGGTTTTTTTTTATGGGTGAAAATGGTATGGTAAACCCGCCTGCGCTAATGGGATACGCTGACGGAGCACCATTGAAGAGTGATAGATGAGAATGAAAACAGGCCAGTTAGCCCATCATGATAAATTCATCAGGAATTAACCATGATACTTTCCAAGGAGAACCGCGAGGAGGTCGATCTGGTTGGGTATATTGCTAGCAATGGGATTCTCAGTCTCCATTACTAACAATCCCTTTCCCCCCTCTATGTTTCGGTTTGAAGGGTGGGATATGGCCTAAATTCATAGGGTACAGATGAATAACACCTGAGTCCTCAGGAATGGCAACTCATGGGGGGAGGGGTATTATGGGCGAAACAGTATACTCTGTTATGTCCATAGTACTGCTCATGTCTATAGGCGACGGTTACCACTTTCCATCAGGTGGGCCGTCAGCTTGTTTGCCATTCTAAGTTGTATAAAAAAAAAAAAGTATACTATGTATTATCATCAAATTAGTTAAGCTACTGTTGATAGGCTTCCCTAATAATAGAGATTTTGTCAATAGTTGTCTCGCCTGCAGAAGTTGGTAACCGCAGTTAGGATTTGTCAATGTTTTAAGAGGGACGCTGCTTCCCATCCTCGACCATTAAGTATTATACGTAACAAAAACTTTTTGTTAAAAGCATTATAAGGGTTATTTATGCATTTATTTATAAATTTATGACGGAATTTTATTAATTCCATAATAGGAAGTATTATGTTTAATTTAGAATTTGAATCTACATTAATTAATTCAACTATGAGACAGTCTTTTTCGAATTCGATTGAATTTATGTGAGTTGATTTGATTCTATAACTGTATCTACAAAACTTAGTTGTATTTTTATTAAATTATATTTAATCATACTACACTAAGAAATAAAGATAGAAGCAAGAAGGGGAAGAGGGAGACCGAGGCATAGTTACATCAGGCAGATCAACGAAGGAGATGGTGTCGTGTCGTATCAAGAGGTGAGGAGACTCGCTGAAAGTCGTAGTGAGTGGCAAGAGCTCCATCGACAAGAGCGCAGCTCTTAAATAGGATAGATAGATAGATACTAAGAAATATTGTTGTTATATATAAATAGTTAAAAATTTTGTTTAAGTCAACATTTTTTTCTTAATTTTTTTTCTCGTTCCATTTATATGACAATTCGTATTAACACTTAAATCTTATAATAGAGAAATACTCTTTATTCCTCCAAAAGATTACAGTAATAAACTTATTAAAGATACAAACAATTACACGGAAAGATTACACTGAGAAAACAATAGGCGGCCATATCGCTTAAAGCGAACTCTTCGAGGTGAACTTATAGATTATTCTCGGAGACGATTTGTACAAAGTTTATCCCAATTCACTATTTTGTTAGTAGTTAAAGTTAACATTGTTAATTTATTGTTACCAGTTGCCCCGAAATGGATTGAGGAGCCGTCAAACACATCCTTGTTATTAGGGCAACGAGGCGTAGTTTACTGCAATGCTAATGGCTACCCCACACCACAGATACATTGGATGAAGCGAGATGGTAGGATTAACTGAAATTATGTACATAAACGTAGCTATAGAATAATGGAAACTGTATGAGTAGTATGTAGATATAATTTATTATTACCCGACTACCAAATAAAGTAGGGTTTTGTTATACTTTATTATTATTGTCCACTGCTAGACATTGGATTCCCCATAAGGGGAGTTTTGCCAGTAGTTGTCATGCTTGGCAACCACAGTTAGGCTTTTAGAGATATTTTAAGAGGGGCGCTGCTGCCCATTTCTTGATCTCTCCTAGTTGCTTCTTACGATATTCACGGGAAAAGAAGAGGTGGCCCATTCTATGCCGGGACCACACGGCGATTTGTTATATCACTTTTTAAAAAAGAAGGATGTTTTCGGGTTTTTATTATGGAAGTAAATATAAATTAAAGAGAAATAAAAGTAAAAATGTTAATTCAAATAAGCTTGAATTTTAGTTGCAAGTAAGATGGTCTTGTTATTTCTAGCGACACTTGGCATTTGGCGGCCTGTCTTGGATCTAGCCGGTGGTGGAGTCATGAGCTATCCCAACGGTACCCTCATCATCGAAGTGGTGTCCCTATCTGATGAAGGAGTATACGCCTGTAACGTGGAGAACGGTGTAGGTGATGCATTGAATAAGAATCTTTGGATCAGTGTTAATAGTAAGTTATATTACTCTTTTATCAGAGATTTAAAATAGTCACTTTATATGAATTATAATAAAATTCATTTCGTAATCAAGAAACTGTATTTTTTGTTTATACAACTTAGAATGGCAAACAAGCTGCCGGCCCACCTGATGGAAAGTGGTAACTATCGCCTATAGACATGAGCAGTACGATAGACATAACAGAGTATACTGTTTCGCCCATGATACCTCCCATGCGTTGCCATTCCTGAGGACTCAGGTGTTATTCCTCTGTACCCTGTAAATTCACGCCATATCCCACCCTTCAAACCGAAACACAGCCATGCAAACACAACTGCTTCACGGTAGAAATACGAATGGGACAGAGGTACCCAAGCAATCGACTTTTGTACAAAGTCTCCCTCTGGTAAATTCTAAGAATATTAAATAATTGAAATTATATTATTTTTACTATTTTATTTTATACTATGGTTATAATATATATATATATATATAATCTTTTAATTTATTTCATTGTTCAATAGGTTTAAGGAAAATATGAAATTTGTGTATAAATACCACATGGTATAGTACTATAATATATACTGTATTTTATACTATTATATCTTTTCTATCGATTTAAATATTAAAAAAATATTTTTGGTTAGTAAATTAGTTAAGTACCTTAGATAATATTTATTTATTTATTATGAATGAAGGCATAGACAATATTCAATCTTACATAAAACATGCTCTATAGATTCAATCAACATTTCTAACTACAAAATTATCTCTAGAGCCGGTGCATTTCGAGTCCGTGGGATCGAACTTGACTACAAAAATTGGGCTACCGGTCACAATAACTTGTCGGCCATTGGGGGACAACCCTATAAGAGTGAAATGGAGTTTGGATGGAAAACCATTGGACTTCACAACATCAAGGTAAAAGTTATTAAAAAAAATACGTAATAATAAATAAACAATAATGTGGCTGTGCTTTTAAAATTCCGTCATGTGCTGCCATCTATATAATTTTCTTTGGTATTAACAAAAACGTTATATCATGCAACTTTCACAAAATATACTCGATTGTTGCGCCATCTGTCTAACTTATATTGAAACTTTTAAGCACTCCTATCTAACAGGAATTTTCCTGCAGACGAAATTCTAAGAATATCAATCAACAGGATGTAGATGGCATGTAGATAAATTGTAAGGGAAATTGTAGGCAAAATGAGGTATAGCTCAGCAGAGAATACACGCATTAAAATTTTCTAGAGACTCATTTCAATTTACAATGTTAATATATAGCGAGAATCATACATTATTTAAGATAAAAAATATAAAATATTACTAAAAATATAACAACACGATTTGGCAGGATTCGAACTTATTTTTAACCATCCGAATCAAGTACGTTTCTCATTATACTATTAATATATTAATTAACAAATATTAAAGCAAAAAAAAGCAACCTTCATTAAATACTCAACTTAGGGGGGAAAGGGATTGTTAGTAATGGAGACTGAGAATCCCATTGCTAGTAATATACCCAACCAGGTCAACCTCCTCGCGGTTCTCCCTGGTTATCTATCATGGTTAATTCCTGATGAACGTATCATGATGGGCTAACTGGCCTGTTTTCATTCTCATCTATCGCCCTTCACTGGTGCTCCGCCAGCGTATCCCGTTAGCGCAGGCGGGGTTACCATACCATATTCACCCATCAAAAAAAAATACTCAATTTTGTATCTTAAATCAACAATTGTTATTAAAATCATTAGAACTAAATTAATTATCATATAAGTAATTACATTTAGATCAAAACTAAACCAAAAAATAATAAATGATGTTATTATTTTTACAGATCAACTATATCTGAAACCATCACACACAATGGTCTGAAGAGTATCGTCAATATAAACTATGTGGAGGGACGAGACGGTGGTACCTACGAATGCAGGGCGAGTAATCCGTACGGCGTTGCAGCCTATAATGTCCATCTTACCATCCTTGGTGAGTATTATTTGACTGGTTCTTAGTTCATTATATATTTTTTTTTTATTTATTTAAAGTATTTATTTAACTCTTTATTGCACCATAAATAAAAATATACAATGACAAGTGAATAATTCAAGTGAAATACAATAACATAAATACAGATTGAAATATACACATAAAGGTACAAAAGGCGGTCTTATCGCTAGAGCAATCTCTTACAGACAACCTTTGGTTAAAGGAGAACAGATAGAAATGGGCAGGGGTAGTAAACAATTACATAGACAATACATATTCTTAATTCCGCGAAACTGCATTGCAGTTGCTCTGCAGCTTTGCGCTCTTTTATATACAGCTTTTATAAACAATTATGAACTTATATCCTAATTCTATATAATAAATTTATATCTTTATACATACATACACATACATATATACATATACATATATATACATATACATATACATATACATATACATATACATATACATATACATATACATATACATATACATATACATATACATATACATATACATATACATATACATATACATATACATATACATATACATATACATACACACACACACATACATATACATACACGCACACATGCATATACTAATGTATACTCATACCAGTAACAACAATTGCCATCCACTTGCTTGTATTTTAGATAGTGTGTGCTGTCCTTAATTAGAAATATTTTGATTAATTTCGCCACTATTATTACATGTGCAACTACCAATACTAGAAGATTTTCCTTAATGATGAAATTGTTAGTAGTGCCGGCTACCAGTCCTATTGCTAGCAATATACCCTGTTAGGTCGACTTCCATGTGGTTCCCCCTGGAAACCATCAAGCTGAATTCCAGGTATATTATTTATTACGTTAGGCTAACTGATCTGCCTTTTCATTCTTAAATATCATTCTTCATTGGTGCACCGCCAATATTTTTTTATGCAACCTAGAATAGCAACAAATATATCGTTAGCGCAGGCAGAGTTACCATTCCATTACTATCCATCAAAAGAAAAACATTCGGAGATTTAATATTACTAATATATATTATTATTACCAGAAATTCTACAACCTTTAAGAAAGAAACTTTAAGAAGTTGCACACATACTAATGGTAATAAAATTAAACAAGATAATTCTAATCGACTAATTAGTGATATGAACTTTAGTAAAATAACACCAAGTTTAGTAAAATGTTATATTTGAAACAATTAAAAACGATGAAACAAAATTAAAAAAAATGTTATAAAAGTATATAGTGTAGGTAATAAAGTGATAGACAATAATCGGCGATTAGAAGTAACTAAGCTAAAGAAACCTCTAGACATATCCACGGTTTGAAATTTATAATTGAAATAGAGATTGTACATTAATTAAAAATTTTTGATAGAGATAAAGATTGAGGTCTTGAAGAATTTTATGATAAAGGCCTATAATGGTAGAGAAATCTAATAACTGTTCATGTTGATGGCAAAACGTATTATCAGATAAAGTATAAATATACACGAACTATTTACAAATAGAATAATAAAAACAATCGTGTATACAAGTATTATGATTTTATAAGAAAATCTTTTAACAAATATAATAAAAGACAAGAAAACAAAGTGCTCACAGTAAAATCTCGAAATAAGACTACCAAGTAGGTGACAGATAAAACGGAGATAAATATCACCTATATCATCACAATAGATTACAGAGTTCTATATTGAGTTACATTTTCTTTGAATTATTGATGTAATCTTTGTTCTTCTAGTAATCTTTTATAATATTAAAGGGCTGAGAAGCATTTTTACCACAAGAAACTATTGTTTACTTCTTAATATTAACTTAAATTGTTTATAAACCGCAGAGCCTCCAACCCCGCCCTTAGATCTGCAAGTCGACTCTGTAACTAGCAATTCAGCTAAACTATCGTGGAGAGATACAATTAGTACACACGTCCAGTACTATACTGTACAGTACACGACTACAGACTTCGTTATGTGGGATACTGCGAAAAGCATCAATATTACAAGGTAATCTTATAAATGATTTAAATATGAAATATTTAGATGTTTTGATATTGTAATTACTACGAGAGGAGAGTTGTATGTTTTTGGAACTGCTTAAGAACTGCGAAGAGACTTTATGAAATAGGCAAATAAAAGAAATGACGCTTATAAAGTAAGGAAGTGTAGGGTAAAATCAGTCATTATATTTAGTACCAAAAACGTGAAGAATTGTTTGTTTATTTTCTAAGACAAATGATAAAAATAGTTGTACTTTATATACAGACTCTACAGATACTTTCACCTTTTGGGTTCTCAAGGTTGACTGAAGAAATCCCTTTAAGGAATATGTTTGTTTGTGTATATTTTCGTTATAAACTAATATTTGTATTAAAAGTAACTGCATTAAAGCATATAAATAAATAAATATACATTAAATTTGGTTTGCGTACTAAAAGTTTAGATAGAGATTATTAACATTTTTTTAGACTGGAAACTACTTTTTTAATGTATTACCTAGTTCTTTAACTTAGGTGTAATCAGGTCAAAAAAATTCGACTAGTTTAGGGATCAATTCGTGATCTTTTATCATGAGCAGCTGTGACGCGAGCACGAGCCTGACGGTTATTATATTTAAATATGTGTGCTAACGAAACTGGAAACTATTTCTTTCAGACAAGATAGTGATTCCCGTCAGAGCATTGAACTACGAGATTTACAACCAGCAACTAACTACAGAGTACGTGTATCATCGGGAAATCAAGTAGACCTGAGCCCGTATACACAGCCTATGCATTTTACAACGCAGCAGGAAGGTATATTAAAGATTTTTCATTAAAAGAACCTCTGCTGTAAGATTAAACAAGACTGCATCATTAATCATGCCAAAATGTCTTATAGCTGAAATTGTTCACAAATTATTAAGATTATCAAAATAATCTCATTTCTGTCGCAAATTTTTATTTTATTTTATTTATTTATAAATTACTCACCACACTTACAGTCTCTCAAAATGTGTAGTGAGCCATAGGTTTATTTTACGAACTTCGTAAATTTTGTACAAATTATGTACAACATTTTAAAAATATATCTATTTTGTCATTATATATATCAATATCTGGCTGCTGAGTAATCAGAGAATTGAGCAGAGAAATAGCTTGATAAGTGGGAGCAAATTGAGCAGTACAGGTTATATCTTAAATGGTTAAACTTGCATGTTTTTTTATTTTAGATTGATAGATAGGACGTAGGTAGATAGACGATAGGTTGTAAAATTATAGAATAGGGAGGCATAATACTCTAATCTTTTAGAAGATGGGTTACTATTTTCCGCTATAGATATTGAAATCCGAATTTCATTTATTCTCTCAACTGTTACTTATCTCTTATGCTGTAAATATTTATTTGCCATCAAATTAAGGAACAAAATTTATTTTGGTTACCCGAGATGAAGATATGGCAGATTTATTAAATTGTTTTTATTTTATAGCTCCATCATCAACTCCTCTAGGAGTACAAGTCCAATCAACAGAAAATCCAGGGGAACTAATCGTAGCATGGCTTCCACCACCTCGGGAGTCTCACAATGGACCTCTACAAGGATATCATGTAAAAGCTGTCCCAAGAATTAGTGGAGAATCAGGTAAAAATATTTATCCTATTAATTATTACTTAGCAGTTTACTGCCTTGCCTTATAGACGTCGTAATGTCTTAATATTTTATATGTTTAATTTCTTCAAACTTTTACTTTAGGACCAAATGATACACAAACTAAAATGGTGAAAGTTATATCCAGAAAAGGAAAACAAGAGACGACTCTTAGTGGACTGCTTAAAAATACGAGGTAAAATAATAATATACTTTGATAATTCGATGATATTAAATAAAATTTTTATCTGTATGTAAAATACGTTGTAGAATACTTTACCAATTTAATGTTATTAAATAGCATTTTTGTTTTCTAATTCATATAGAATAATTCATATTATTAAATGCAAATTTTCAATATTTTTACTGAATACCATGACTAAGTAATGACTATATCTCTATATATTGGTCCACAGATACGCTGTTTCAGTGAGTGCCTTCAATTCAGCGGGGAACGGACCTTTTTCTTTACCAGTTTACCAAACTACTAGAGAAGGGGGTATGTCTCTTGAAGATTTATTACTTTTACTAAGTTCGATGGTGTCTTCATTGACTATATTTTTTGCATCTGTTTGCAGAAAAACATAAGCAACTAACATTTTATTGAATTTAGTCCAAATAACTAAATCCTTGTTTTTTTTTAGACTGTGAATCTACACTAAAAGCATTTTATAAATGCTCATATTCTAACGATGATAAGTTATAAAAAAAAAACAATTGACACTTTTATGCAGTTTTTCGTGCGCTCTGTGTAATAATTTAATTTTATATCTTTGAAAAGTAAATTAATATTTAGATACAAAATATTTATGATAGAAATTTTATTCTATTATTATAACTAGGATATATTTTCAGTTTTAATTTTATTTCGGTTTTAACTGTCATATGAAAAATAGAATAAAAAAAATTAGGAGAAAATTGGAAATATAATCTATTTTTGCTGTAAAACATACATCAGGACCGAAATTTCCCAAATCAAAGATTCAAAAAACTAATCTTAAATTTTCCTCATGAACTCTACAATTGAACGTACTGTTTTAGTATAGAAGGCTGATTTCTTTTTATTACATTAAATACAAAATGAAATCTGAATCAAGAACATTTTCTAACAGTGAAGAGGATATTAAGAAGTTTAATTTACCTTGTATATTAATCATCTTTAATAAGAACTGTGTTTATAAATTGGTTATACCTTGTAGCATCTATTTTATTAAAGTAAAAATACTATTATATTTTATATTTCAGCACCAGAACACCCTCCATCAGGAGTGGAATGTCGCGGAGTATCCTCCTCATCATTACGCATCTCCTGGCAGCCGATTACTTCCTATGGGGCTTCCTTACTTGGTTATACTGTCTTCTATAGCACTGAAGGTTGATTCTATTGGATTATAACATTCTTCTACAATTATTACATAGTTTTCTAAATGCAATTTCGAAAATCTGTTTTTTTTTTCTTAATTTCTTTAAACCCATCAATTTCTGTTAAAATATATTATGACCATATCGATTGTTATTTTAAGATATTAAAAACTAAGTTAAAGTAGTTAGAAGTAGTAAGTTTTATTAAGATTAATATAAAGATCTGAATTATTTTATATTCCAGATGGCAGCTGGCAAAATGTGACGTCACCGCACACTGAACTATATCTACAGGCTTTATTAAAATATACGAACTACTCCGTCAAAGTAGCTGGATTTTCTAATTATGGACTTGGGCCATTTTGTTATCCTATTGTCTGTACTACATTGCAAGATGGTAAGAAGTTTTGCTAACCTCTATGAGACAATTATTTGGGAATAACAAACTAGCTAACGGCTTATCTGATGAAGATTGGTTAAACCATTTCTATAGATAAAGGTTAATTCAGTGGTACTATAATACTTTACGTGGGCATTATATGTGTCTTATGATAGAGATTATTTACATTTAATACTAAATCATTCTAAGATTAAATTTTCTGAATTTTGTTTTTATTGTGGAATCTGAGATAATGATTGCAAGAACTCGGATGCATTTCATTATTATTACATCTGTGGTTAGCAATATTTCGAGTATTGATTATTGATAAATCTACTTTACTAATCATTGATTTAATTTTACAATGCAAATCTTTTTTCGTTTAATTCTGTTGCCTATTGTATTTTCAAATATTTCACAACGTAATTCTATGGGCGAGAATTTTTTATTGTATATTGAATTTTAAACCCTATTGTGTTGTTTCAGTACCAGGTCCACCCTCACCGATAAAAGTATTAGTGTCATCACCAACATCATTGCTGGTTAGTTGGAAGAGACCTGAACAACCAAACGGAGAGATCACGCACTATACAGTATATGTTAAACCAGTTTCAAGGTAATTTTTTACATTATTTATATCTTTTACATTAATATTGTCTTTGTGATTGTTATAAATAGTTAAAAATGACTCTCTTATATTTATTGTTTTTAAAGTAACGCAGAGTACGATTTACTTTATTTGCACTTTTTATTTTCTTTCTTCTATCGTTTTTCATAACATATTTTCTTCATAGATTACAAATTCCTCTTACTACATCTTCATCTGTAACTGTTTCATCGTTTTCAGTAATTTCCTACGAGCATTCTATACCAATTTCTTTGGTCTTATTTTCATCTATTTCTATTTTCTTGACATCTCATTCAAGTATATGATTATGTTCTGTAACTCATTCGTTTATAGTACATGTATATTTTATAAGTACCTCCCTCTCTTATCGTTTCTACATTTTCTTGTTTTCTGAACTAATTCTTGTTTTGTGTACATAATTACATATTGTTTGGTTTTTTTTTCTATATTATCGTCTTTAACTTCGCTTTTATACATACCCAAAATACCAATAATTTTTTATCTTTTGTAATCTCTTCTTTGTGAACCCTAGTTATAAATTTGTAAAACCGAAAAAAACAATAAATTTGTTTCGGTTTTAAAAGATGTATTCTTCAAATTTTATTTCCAGCACAAGTTCACCACAAAGCTACCGAGTGGAGCCTTCTCAAGAAACACTACGTCAGTTGACTTTCCCCCTATCAGGACTATCAACTGCCCGACAATACGAAGTATTTGTGAGAGCACACACTGCCGCTGGTGAAGGAACACCGAGCAATCGTGTACATGCTTCACTTTCTTCTAAAGGTAAGATTTATCTTAAAAATGAAATATGAAAATTTCGTGTGTTATCTTACTATATGTCAATATCTCAATAGGTGAGGCGTAGTCAGATAAGTTAGCTAAGTTTTTCAAAAACCAAATACTATGAATTTACTGATAATGGTGTTATTATTTCAAATTATTAACAAATTTGTTAAAAGTATCAACAATAATATAAAGTTTTGCTTTTTAAAAATTTAAAAGAGAAAAGTAACAAACTAATTTAAATAAATACATTATTCCAATAAACGTAGGAAGCACTTTAAGTTAAGGTTATTTATTTATTCATTCGTCCCTATTACGAGATTATTATTTTTAAATAAACATATATATGAAAGTAAAGATTAACTGTATCTTGCACGTAATTGAATATACTTCGAAGATTTGGTTCCAAATATTAAATATATAACAAAATAAACCTCATCCATTAAATACATATCAATATGCATTGCAGTTGTGCCAGGAGTAGCTTCATTAGGAGGCCCTATATCAGTAGGAGTGGGGAGTTCCTTGCTGCTAGCATGCCAATGTGTTGGCACACCACCTCCAAGGACTGTGTGGTACCACAAACACAACATCATTACCCATCATCCCAGGTTCACCAGGAACCATGATGATAGTCTTCTTATTAATAGTAAGTATAAAGTTGTAGATTTTGCTCTGAAAAAATGTTGTTTCAATTATAACAAAATTAGTATGATATTAACTTTTGATTCCAACAACAAACAATATTCTAGTTGAATTGAGATCTTCCTCTTTCTTGAAATCGGTTAAAAATAAAAGTGATAATGATAATGATGGAATAAAAATTCATGTTATCACATTTTTTCATTCACATTCCATTAACAAAATAGAAGATGAAGTTCTATAAAATTGTGTAAAAGAAGAAAGACCCTAAGTATTGTCAAACCTAAATCAAGCCATCTATCTAGCATGATTATAGTAGACCAAAATGCTCCTTTTATATAACAAGAGATGTAGCTAGTAAAATTTAATTTAATTAATTTTATTTATTATGTTGGTGATAGTTTTATACTGTAGCAAATATTATAGCTGCAGAAATAATTTTCCAGATATTGACCAATCTCTTAGCGGCAACTACACCTGTTTAGCCAAGAACTTGTATGGCTCTGACTCAGTCACGTACGAGGTATCGGTACTGCCTACACCAGAGCCTCCCACATTGAGGATAACACCTCATAAAAATGCTTTGAATTTGCAATGGGAGCCTCCAAGGAAGATTGGGAAATCACAAAAGATAAGTATGTTCTATTTGCCTTATATTTCCTTGATGATAGATAACAATCTAGTATACCGCTCAATTTGTTCATAAATCATTGCAATAACTCATTCTTCATTAATATGTTGGAATCTAGTGACAAAGACTCTTTCATTTTAATATAATAGTGGGAATTCATAATCAGAGATTTTATATTTATCAATTATAAATATAAAATCTCTGTTAAGTTCTTCTATCTTTTTCTTTAAGTGCTATTTTCGCGTGTTCTCTTTTCATCTCTCACTTTCTTTCTCTTCTGTTGTATGTGTGCTGTTATGTGTATGTTTATGTATATATTTGTTTTTATAGGCCGCCTTTTATTTTATTTCTCAATAAAATTAACTTTATTTATTATTTAATAAATAAGGAACTGTAAAAATAAATAAATAAATTTATTAACTCCAGGCTATAACCTTACATGGAAGGAAGGCAATGGTTCCTGGCAAGACGCATGGTCGAACAAAGTCACTTCCCAACAAGGTTCCCAAGAGTATACCCTACAAGGTCTGAAGTGTGGTACTAAGTACTCGTTGAGGATGACAGCAGCTAATAGTGTGGGTTCCTCGCAGCCTACCTACATTGATGCTACGACTTTGGGTGGAGGTGAGATTTTAGACAAAACCAATAGATATTGCCTCGTTTCTGCCCCTTACATGTGGATTGAAGAATTAACCGTCTGGTATATTCTCCAGAACAGAGAAGTTGACTGCTACTTTAATGCATCTTTCAAAAAGGATCATGAGGAAAAAAATTATGTAAATGTCGGCATTATTTAATCTCCTCTCTAATTCTTCATTTTACATGCGTATTTCCGACTCTAAAGAAACCTTTTTACTCCTTTACAATCGACTTTAAAACGAAAAAGGTTTTGATTGTTTCGAATTGAATTGATTCGATTTTGTTGTATTTTTTATAATTATTATCTCATAACCCCTTTAGTTTTAAACCGATTTGGAAAATTTATTTTTTATCTGAAAAGAAACAAAAAGAACTTCCAGTTTGCTTCCATAAAAGTTTTATCAAAATAGTTTCAATAGTTTAATTTTTAGATCAATATAACTAGTTTTGTCACAAAATTGCTACCAAAGAGGGTTGACGTCAGGCAGGCGACCGGTCGTAAAACTATAAGCCAAATCTTTTTGTAATATGGATAAAAACATTACGCCGACCCTAAATAATAATTGGGATAAGGGTAGGAAGATGATGATGATAACTAGTTTTGTCACAGTTTTAGTCGTATTTTTTGTAGGACACTGTCTTTAATCATTCATAAAACCTGTCCACCATCTGTAATATTTTGGAGAAACCTCGACAGAGAGCTCATTCCATGACTTGAGAATGTGTGTGTGACAAAAGTGCATGGACAATAGTGGCCACTTGTTACATGTTAGGTGTTATATCAACTCGTTTCTCTTCTTAACAAATAAATTTGTCTATGTCTATAGATATGTTTTCGTCCATTTTCAGTGCCTATCTCGCCAACCACTACAGAATGGTTTTGGAGTAATGCGAGCCATGTATATATACAATTGAGCGGCTGGGACGATAATGGCTGTGAAATAACCAAATTTGAAGTAGATTATAGGGAATATGGTAGCAAAATGTGGAGGAAGGCTGAAAATAGACTTGTAAGTATTAAATAACAAAACTGCTGTGTCAACACTGCACTACATGGGGGGCAGAGGTTATTAGTATTGCGGAATACTAGTTCCATTGCTAGCAATATACCCTGTCAAGTCGACCTCCACGTGGTTCCTCCTGATAACCTGATCTGCCTTTTCATCCTTACCTATCATCCCTCATTGGTGCTTGGCCAGCATATACCGTCAGCACCAGGCGGGGTTGCCATTACACTAACTTCTAAAAAACACAGTGCTATGTTAATATCCTACTAATATTATAAATGTGTAAGGATGGATGAATAAGTAAATATTTATTATTCAGTTCTGAACTGAAGTTCAAATTCGTTCAGTTCAAGAACTGAACGAATTTGAACGATTTGACATACTTGTAGGTAAATTATATTACGAGTATAACTTAGCACATAGAATACCTTATATGATGATTCTCGTGAAAAAGTCGCGGAATATTGTCAGTCTTTATATATTACTGCTTGTAAAGCCATAACACCGAAGTCTTCAGGATTGGTAACACTTGTATCGTAGGCATCGCAGTGTATTCTCTGATGTTTATGGTACTATTTTAAATAAAATATTTTCTATCAGGAAGGTCGTCACTGTGCTTGCCATTTTAAGCTGCATATTTTTTCTTTAAAGACATCCCTGTCTTTAATGCAAATCGTATTAAAAATGTTGGATAAAACTGTTAAAGCGCAATTTTATGTGATTGTTTAAAATTATTAAATTTATTACCTTAATAACTACTTTGCTATAAAGGTTTTGCTATAGTTCTGGACTTCTAAATGCATTTTTAAGCTATTTCCGAAGTTTTCAATTCACATACTTTTTTATGGACATATCACACAGTATCTTTGCTAATATTAAACCGATTTTGATCATTCCTTTTGCAATCGATAGAGCTTCCTTCTGCCCTGGTCTCATATTAATTTTGTTAATGATAAAGATTTTAAAATCATGTAACGTCATCTATCTGGCTATGGAGTCTGTGTCTAGTATAAAAAAAAATTAAGCAATTCTCTTTAGTTTTATTATTATTTCAGTCATTAACTGTCCACTGCTGGACAAAAGCCTTCCCCATAAGGGTAATTGTGCTAGTAGTTGTCACGCTTGGCAGGCGGGTGGACAACTGCAGTTAGGCTTTTAGAAATAGTTTAAGAGGGACGCTGCTGCCCATCCCTCGTTCTTTTTCTTTAGTAAAATCGACTCACTTATACTGATTTTATTTATTTTAGCCCCAATTGGATCAGCAATGGTCCCATTATGTAGCCTCGTCAATATTAAATCAACCAAACTCATTCGTGATAGCGGACTTAGTGCCAGCACAATGGTACCAAATAAGAGTCACCGCTGAGAACTCCGCTGGGCTATCAGTATCCGTGTATAACTATGCTACTACCACGTTACAGGGAGGTGAGTATAGTTTTTACTTGAAAATAAATTTTATTCAATTTGTAATAAGGTCCATTTTTTGTTTACAGAATCGATTGGCCCTCCATCTGAATTTTTTGACTTGAATATGTTAGTCATTATATGCAGTTCCATTCTGCTAATGATTTGCTCCCTTACGTGCGTTTATATACTAGTCAAGAGACATAATAAGTAAGTATAATAATATACTCTTAGATTATATATCGAACCTCAAATCGGGTCAACTTTTTGTCAGCTAATTGTCAAATTAGCTGACTCGTTTTTTTTTTATCAGTATTCTATACACTTACGCGTAAAATGTATCTTGACGTATTATTTAATAAATAAAACATAATTTATAAGAAAAATAATTTATTCACTAGTCTCTATAATATAGATCAATAATCAATATCAATCATCATCATCAATATAATGTTGTACTTAAAAAAAAAAGAATATAATGATATTCTTTGTTTTTTAAATTGTTATTGTGTAAAACATAAATTATTTATGAGGAATATAGGATCTATAGTATAGTACTCACAAATATAATCATGATAATGTTTTAACAGTCTCATATGTAGTGTGTACTTAACACAATTTTTTATTCATATTTACATATTTTATATATTTATGCTGCGTAAATAATTTCTGCAAAATATATTTACATACGATGAGGCTTTAAATTTAAACAGAAAATATAGAAATGTACAAAAAAGAATTCTGCATTATATTTTTTATTTTTTATTGTTTTTGATACAACGTTTTATTTAAAACTCATATTTATAGGATTCTTGATACAACTTTTTATTTACAAACTTATATTTAAAGGGTTCTTGATACAACTTTTTATTTACAAATTTATATTTATAGTGTTCTCGATGCAATATTTTATTAAAACCCCATATTTAGAGGGATCTTGATACAACTTTTACTTACAAATTTATATTTAGAGGGTTCTTGATGCAATATTTTATTAAAAACCCATATTTAGAGGGATCTTGATACAACTTTTTATTAACAAACTTATATTTAGAGGGATTTTGATACAACTTTTAATTACAAATTTATATTTAGAGGGCTCTTGACACAACTTTTTATTAAAAACTCAATCTTAGAAGGTTTTTGATACAAATTTATATTAAAAATTCATATTTAGAGGGTTCTTGATATAATTTTTTATTTAAAAAATAATATTTAGAGTGTTCTTGATACAGCTTTTTATTTACAGTCATCAACAACTTACAGAGTATCGTAACTCGTTAACAGCCGATTGTAAGTCTGAACGTGGGAACATTACGGCGAATACGCCACAGACACAGTCAGATATCAACAATCGAGTGTATAGTACGCCTGTCCATTTGAATGCAGATAGCAAACATGGTAAGTTACAGTCCACATTGATTTGTTAAAAGCACTTTGGGTTATGGGGAAATTTGACCGGTTAAGAATTTTGATACAAAATATACATATCAATGTTTTATTAAGCATGTTTGATTAAAAACATATTTCGAAACAATTAAAATGATATAATTCATTTCATTGTCGCCTTCTCTTCAATCTGTTTTATTTGGTACCCATATTAATAGAGTCAACAAAATATATATATAGGTACATCATACGCCAACTTGTAGTGGTGACCATTCTGAATATATATACATATAGATATATATATATATATATATATATATATATATATATATATATATATTATTTATAACAGATAAACATGTTTTTGAAGTAATATCTTACTATTTTCACATATTATCTTCACAGAGTTGTATGAAATAAGTCCATACGCACAATTCGCAATTGGTTTCCGTACATTTGGCCACGTTGATAACCAAGAGGTTCCTAGTCGGATACATATGCCTGGAAACAGTAAATCTAGATATGACAGCGGTAAGTCGATTGTATTTTTCCTATTACATTGTGAAATTTGTATACAAATATTTTCAATATAGCTTATTGATAGCTATCTTTTATCTGTAAATTTATTTACCTTGTCGGGATCCATAATCGTACAAGACGAACAGTAACTCCCTCAGTCCCAAACTTACACTGTGGTATCCAAAGGATATCTTTGTAATATTAATAATTATCTAACAGACTGTACTTACTATTATAAAAAAATATATAGGTAGGGTTAAATGTCATATTTATTCCATTTATCCCTAATGGACACACAATGGTAGATACAGGTGGAAAAAAAATCCAGTCTTAATCCTTTCAGGTAAGAAAGTTGATAAAGACAAGCGGAACTGACCAAATGTGGGCTTTTGTTTTTATACAACTTAGAATGGCAAACAAGCTGACGGCCCACCTATAAATTTCACGACCATTGCTTGAGTTGTTAAAATGCCAAGAGATAGCAAACAAACAAATTTTACACATTTATAATATTACAATGAATATATAATATGAATAAATTAAACATAAAATTACCTAAACACTTGTAGGTTTACTGGATATCGAAAAAATAACATTTTTAAAAGTATGTTTATTACAGAAACAAGTTTTCAAGTGAGATCAGAATCGGAAGAAAGTGATTGCGTTTCAAGAACTACGACATTAAAAAGTGCGCCCAGAAGTACGTATTTTACTTTAAAGGACTAAACAGTTTATGTCTTATATGATGAGGACGATAGTCCTACTTTGAAATATAAATACATTTCTTATTTACAGTTTCTCTCTCTCTCTAGAATTCCATAATAAAATGTCCAATATAAAAAAAAAAATTAAAATAAAACAGTTGTTTCCAATAAGTATTTTATATGAGTTATCACCAAATCTTTCACTACTATAAAGTTATACAAAGTAAAGATAAGATAAGGTGTCGTAAGAGGCGACTAAGGGAGGACGAGGGATAGGCAGCAGCGTCCCTCTTAAAACATCTGTAAAAGCCTAACTGTGGTTGCGAAACCGCCTGCTAAATGTGGCAACTACTGGCAAAACTCTGCTTATGGGGAAGGCTTATGTAGCCAGAAGTAGACAGTTAACGACTAAAATAAAAAGGTATAAGACATATACAGAAAATCAGCGTCACGCTCAAAAGAACATGGCATATAGCTGAGTAACACCATTTTAGTGCTTTTCTTTTCCTTTTTGTTTATTGTGAAATATTTTTTTATTTATGTGAAATTTAACACTAAATAAATATAAAATATATTTTCATATTTATTATTATATCTTTCAGAAGGCTGCAGAATACCACATCACAGGTAGCTGAAAAATAGATCTGAATCTAGTTATAACTAAAGCGTTAATGGATGAGTTAGGAAAATAATTTAGTATTTTTAGTAATTTTAAATTCTTGTTTTTATACAAACTACATAAAATGTTCAATAAACTTTATTATCTCATAATGGTAAGCAATATACTATTAAATTTAATTTTATAACACTATATTATAAAAACAATTTTGTCAATTTCAATTTATTGTATTTTAAATTAGTCATAAATATATTATAGTCATAATTTTAATATTGTTTAGAATCTTCTATTTAAACGCCTATTAGTAATTTAAAATTATACTAAACAATTATCATTTAAATTTTATACAAATTTGACTTAAAAACGAGTTTTTATTGCTCATTATTAGAGTAGATAAACTTTTTTACAAACTACTTTTAAATTTAAGCTTTGTACTTGTCTCTATAAAAAACTATAAATTTTATCATTACGTAGCATTCATATTGAAAAATTGTATTTTATTTATAACTTGACTGACTATTTTTATTGTTTGACTAGTTAATTTATACTGTAATGAAATAAGTAATACATCAATCAAGTATATATTGAGTGATAAATATCAAAAGTGACCCAAAATTAAAAATATTTTCGTTCTATGTCATTCAGGACAATATAACAAATGCATAGCCTACAAAAAAAATAAAAATTTACTAATTAATATATAAATTAATATTATATATATTTAAATATATATAAATTATATAATTAATATATAATTTATATATATTTAAAATAATGAAATTAAAGAAAATCCTTTAATTTTGTTCTAAATTATTTAAATTTCATTAATATACCATTTAACATTATATAATTAATGGATTTAATATCCTTTAATTGTATATTTAATTGTGTCTTAAATATTGTAATACCCATGATGTTAATTGAAAGCCTTTCTAACAAATAATAAAAAAATATTCCTGATATGATATAACATTAAAAACAATGTTTCCGTGTTGTAATATTACACCATAACATAGTTAATTTTAAACTTTTTAATTGTTAATACATTTTAAATACATTATCGGATAGTTTATCGGAAATAAACACAAACGAAAATTTCAGATAAATAGTACCTACATACCTGATTTTTATTGGCTGATTTTATAATGACGACAACGTTTTTTTCCTATATTTTGTTCCAACTTCAATCTTGTCTTTTTTTAATAGGTTAAAATGGAATGATAACTCCGCCTGCGCTAATAGTATACGCTAGCGGGGTACCAGTAAAGGGTGATCGATGAAAATGAAAACAGGCCAGTTAGCCCATCATGATGAATTCATCAGGAATTAATCATAATAGTTTCTAGGGGAAATCGCATGGAAGTCGACCTGATTAGGTAAATTGCTAGCAATGGGATTCTTAGTCTCCATTACTAACAATCCCTTTCCCCCCACTTCAATCCTGTCGTGACCACAACGTGGTGTAATCGACGTAGAAAAGTTGGTAATAAAATCAAGTATGTATGTACTATTTACCTGCAATCGTAGTAGCATTAAATCTTGATAGAATATTTTAAATACATCTTAACATATTTACAAAATAAATGTAACTATTAATTTTGATCTGTAACATTACACGCAAGTGGTGTTGGTGTGTAGTCACCTTTAGATTTGTGTTATATAAAAGGACAGTAGTCATAACATGAATACGACACAGTATATAATAGTTTCTATTCTATTACAATAAAAATTAAGCCATAAACAGTAAAAGCTAAAAAAAAAATGATGGAACATTGATTTCAATAGAATTAATATTTATTTAAAAAATAGATCTCTCCTAATATTAAGCTGGTTTTAAGATCGATTATTAAGTATCGTGAAATTTACTATTGTATAGTTCTCTTTACATTTTTTACATGAAATAATATTTAATTAAAACGATCGTGAAAAATAATATTAATTGTAGTAAAAAAATAAAAGAAATACAGGGTGTGAATAAATTATTCTATTACATAAAACCTAACATTTATTTTTGTTAATTAATACAAGTAAAATTTTTGGTTTGGGAAAATTAGTAGGAACAAGTGGAACTGGTCCTCAAATATAACCGTATTGGTATTTATTAAAAGACGAGATGAGAATAAAATTTTAAGAAATTAACAGAAATTTTATGGAGTCTACGAGAAATAAACTATAAACAATTATATTTTTAAACAAGAAAAATGCTTTTCGAATTAATGCCATATAGTACATATAGCTTTTGGTTTTTGGCTATAATAGAATTATTCATCAAATATCAAAAAGAAGACAGCAGTGACCTCACAAACCATAGAGTTAGTTTCTTTTTTCATAATACATTTATTTCCGCTATAATATAAGTATTAATTAATAGACAATTCTGTTTACACCCTGTATTTGTATATGATTATAACTTATAAGTTATCTTGAAGAAGACTGATTGTTTAACATTTAATTTAGAAGAAAAAAAAAACTAAAATTACGTAAATTAATTTACGAATAGAAATAAAATTTCGACGAAATAAATATAAATGTTAGTTGTATAAAATTTCGTTTTATTTAAACAACAGAATAACTGGTTTTTATACAATTAAAATAGATTTTTTTTTATGGAACATTATATTAAATTAGGATATAAATTTCATGACTATAAATTGCCGTGCGGCATAGAATGGGACACCTCTTTCTTTCCCGTGGGTGTCGTAAGAGACGACTAAGGGATGTCGTCTCATAGTCGTCTCTAATTGTCTCTAGTCGTCTCTAGTCGTCTAGATAGTCGAGGGATGGACAGCAGTGTCCCTGTTAAAATATCACCTAAGTCTAATTTAACAAAGCGGTTGTCATTCCGTCTGTGGCTACTACTAGCAAAAATCCCAATGGCTCCCCATGTGACTCCTGTGGCTCTCCCCATGGCCTATGTTCAGCGGTGAACAGTTAATGGCTAATATGATATGATGATATGTATATGACTATAAATTGAGGCATTATACAGCTATATACAAACAAACTCATTGACAATATCAATAAAGATAAAAATCCAATAACTACGTTCTTATAAATGTGAAAGTAAGTTTGTTAGCTTGTTAACTACTTCACCAATCATTACGAAAATTGGTAAATAGACAGATAGATAAGTACATAATTTATTTGCATTACTTACAGTACACAATATCAGAGGTTTGGGTATATACTTAAAAAAGAATACATATACAATAGAAAAAAAAAAAACAAAAGAAAGAAAATTCGTAAAAAAATAACAATTTTTCATAAGTGTGCCATAGTAACATAAAATGGTTACAGCTCAGTTTATTGCTTTGTCCTCAAAAGAGTAACACTGATATTCTATTATGGCCAAAAATCAAAAGCTATATGTACTATATGAAATGAAGAAGGGCATAGGCTACTTTTTATCCCTCATGTGGACGAAGCCACGGGTAAAACCTAGTTGGTTATAGACATTTTTTTTTCTTTAATACGCTTGTTAACTTCGGCAGTATCTAAGTTAGATTTTAATACAAAAATGCTTTATGACCCTCGAAGTCTATCCTCTATAAGTTTACTGCGAGCCTACAGAAAGTTTTCATATAAAGTGCGTTCAACTACCATTTCGTTCGACGCCGTAGACCGGAAAATTGGTAGAAAAGTTCTTTCAGATAGAATGGTTGAGATTTAAAATAGGAGCTGTTGATAGAAAATTACTATCAATGTCTTTTGAACAGTATTACTATATTTGGACAACCAATAACTGATTAGGAAAGATTTTAGAGTGGCGATCTTGGACGAACAAACAGTGTGAAGCGTAAATGATCGCTTATTATAGTAGATAATCATCATTTTACTACCCTTATCCCAATCATTTGGGGTCGGCGTAATATGATTTTATCCATATTACAAAAAGATTTGGTTTTTTAGTTTTACGACCGGCCACCTGCCTGACGTCAACCCTCTTTGGGAAATTATTATAGTAGATAATAAAGATTAAAAAAGATAAATTAAAAATTTAATTGACAGAAAATTATGTATGTCGGTAAGATTTTAACCATTTTTTTATGCAACTTAGAATGGCAAACAAATTGACGGCCCACCTGATGGATAGTGATAACTGTCGCCTATAGACATGAGCAGTACCATGGACATAACAGAGTATATTGTTTCGCCCATGATAACCCCATGCGTTGCCATTCCTGAGGACTCAGGTATTATTCCTCTGTTTCCTAAAAATTTACTGCCATATCCCACCCTTCAAACCAAAACACAGCCATGCGAAACTCAACTGTTTTACGGTAGAAATACAAATGGGACAGAGGTACCAAAGCAAACGACTTTTATACAAAGTCTCCCTCTGGTTTTGAAAGGGCAATCATAATTTCAGGATTAAGAATGGGGAACAATGTATTTTAACGTCTTTGTATAAAATATTGAACTAATTTAATTTCAATGTCTTCAATATTAAAGTCTAATTCGAAATAACAAGAACTCTAATGTAACATGTTAATACAGAAGCCACAGAGAGGTTTTGGGAGAAAAAAAAAAAGGTTGTTTCAAATCACAAGGGAGTGAGGGCAGTAGAGTGTAAAATTGGATTCCCCAGTCCAAATCGATGGCCTAATTTGGTAAGTTTGTATGTACACTTATATATCATACTCGCTACTTCTATATCATGTGTATATAGTTTAATATAAGCAGATATTTATACTCATGCCCTAAGGTAGGAAGATGATTATAAATATGGAGTTAGCTCCAATTATTTGGGGTTGGTGTAAAATGATTTTATTCTTATAACCCAAGAATTTGACTTCTGGTTTCACGACCTTGCCTGTCTAATGTCAACCCTTCTTAGGAATATGTTTGCTGGTGATAACCAAAATCTATAGTATGGGAGAAAAGATTGAGAGAAAACGTCCTACGTGAGACTAAAATTGGTAAAGAAAGAAAGAAAGGATTTATAAGAAAGAGGGGCACTGCAGTTGCGAGAGAGATGCTGGTTAGAGACTGCAGTGGCTCGGAAAACCGGAGTCACATGCCCGTATATCCTTACTTATATACTTACTAAAGGATAACATCACTAGTGAACTTTCTCTGTCAACAATAATTAAGTAATTAAAAAAAAAAACTCCCGTGGTAACAATACAGTATGATCATATAAGTGAAGAATAATGTATACAACTAGACCCACATTGGAGGAAATATTTGGAAGTATATCATAACAGCCATTAAATGTCCACGATTGAACTTAGGCCTCCTCCTATTAGCAAGTTTTGCTGGAAATTACCACGCTTGGCAGACGGTTTGACAACCGTTGTTAGGCTTTGGTGATGTTTTAAGGGAGACGCTGTTGCCTATCCTTCGACCCATTAAATTCTCTTAGTCACCTCTTACGACATCCAAGGGAAAGGAACGAGTAGCCTATTGTCTGCTGTGTTGTGCTGTGTGATATCGGTATAGAATACTATACCGAGGTCACACAGCAATTTGGAGGTATAACAAAGTTGTATTAAGGGATGGAAACGCTTGAAGATTATAGACGATGATTACTTTCTATCAGGTTGACAGTCCGTTTATCATTCCAACTTGAATAAGAAAGAAGATTTTTTTGTAATGAAAGACAATGGAATAGTAGCCCCGTCTGCGCTAACGGTATACGCTGGCTGGCCACCAGTGAGGAATGGTAGGTGAGAATGAGGACAGGACAGTTAGACCATCGTGATGAATACACCTGTAATTCAGCACGATGATTTCCAGAAGGAGGCACGTGGAGGTTGACCTAACAGGGTATATTACTAACAATAGGGCTGCTTGTCCGCATTACTAAAAATCCGCTCCCTCCCAGAAAGGCGGTTAGATTCATCAGCTATAAATACCTGATAGGTATATCTAACTGATGACTTTAAAAGAACATGTAAAATATTTGAGATAGGATAAGAAAAGCCTTTGCTTCACAGTAGGTCATAAAATACGAATATATCTTAAGTTCAGGTTAGTTTCTTTAAGGTAAGGTTACGGTGTGAGTATAAAGTCTAATGTATTTTTTATTAGCTCATAAAATATAGGATCGCGGTTCAGTTTGCGTTTACGATATGTGGTGTTTATAAAAGAAATACATATATTTACAAGTATTGCAAAGTGTGGTCCCGGCATAGAATGGGTCACCCTTTCTTCTCCCGTAGGTTTTGTAAGCGGCAAGTATAGGAACTTACGAAGTATGGTAGCAGCGTCCCTCTTAAAACACCATAAAAGTCAAACTACGGTTGTCAACCCACCTACCAAGCATAGCAACTACTGGCGAAACTCCGCTTATGGGGAAGGACTATATTCAGCAGTGGCATATATGATGATTTGTACTGGGAAAATATTTGAGAAAAATGGGTTTTAACAACTGTAGCAGATGCTAAAACAATATATTTTTTAAATTTTGTCTGTCTATTTACATTTTGTTCCGGCATGGCGCAAAAAAGACTGTACCAAATTAAATGTAATTTTCTTAATTGTACTCCCGAAGGTCTGACTTAAAAACTGGTGTGTGTTTTATTTCAATACGTTATCTACTGATTATACAATTGCAAAATCCACGAGTACATATTTGTAGACATATATAAGGTCACCAGAGGGAGACTTTGTACAAAAGTCGTTTGCTTGGGCACCTCTGTCCTATTCGTGTTTCTACCGTGATGCAGTTGTGTTTGCATGGCTGTGTTTCGCTTTGAAGGATGGGATATGTCAGTGAATTTACAGGGTACAGAGGAATAACAGTTGAGTCCTCAGGAATGATCACGTATGGGGGGTATCATGGGCGAAACAGTATACTCTGTGATGTCCATAGTTCTGCACATGTCTATAGGCGACGGTTACCACTTTCCATCAGATGGGTCATCAGCTTGTTTGCCATTCTAACTTGCATAAAAAAAAGCTAATTGATACAAATATCACAACTCGAATACACAACCTTTTCGAATCGGACAGAAATCTATTAGACCACGACATTCTTGCTGTAAATTACGATCTATAAACACATAGTCTATGTGCCAATTTCTAACCAATTGTTTCATAACTGCAAAACACTTCTATTGTTCGGACCGCGACAAGTTGCCAACTCCAATAATATAAAGTTGGCCCCAGAAATTGTATGGAATGAATTACCACTACTACTTTTTATTTCAGTGTTAAAACTAGCAATGCAGTCACAAAAACGAGACAAGAAAATGCTTGCGCTAGTGTGCGTATTTTGTAAATGTGTGCAGGTCACAATTTATATGGAATTAAAATTGTAAAAGCTATTTATATATTGCTAGCTAGGTTATAATATCTATATAACTTTTATTAACGATTTCGTTTGTATATTCTTACACATAGAATAGTTATATTTAATTCGTCGGTCTGCAAGTGATTTCACTTATGTGTATATTATTTTTTTCTTATCTTTTTATTATTCTTTTAAATCTGTAATGTACACCGTAAACGTCTGTGAAGTCTTTGTGTGGTTTGCACACAGTAACAACGCTGTGGCAGTAAATAAACTGCCATAGCATAATGCCAAGTATTGGCCATTTTGGTAACTAATTGTTACAAATTAATATAATAGTCTTTTGCTTTGTTTTGTAAATGCATTTGGTTGTCAATAAAAATTTCCTTTTTTTCTTTAAAAATAGCCAAAATTATCGTCATCATCATCTTCATCACATCAGCCTTTAACTGTCCACTGTTGAACAGAAGCCTCCCCTTGGGGGGTTTTGCTAGTAGTTGCCATGCTTGGCAGGCGGTTTGGCAACCGCGGTTAGGCTTTAGAGATGTTTAAAACGTATGCTGCTGCTCGTCCCTCACCCTCCCTTAGTCACCTCTTACGACACCCACGGGAAAGGAAGGGGTGGCCTATGCTATGCCTGCACCATACGGTCATTTACAAAAAATTACATATTTTGTTATAATTTTAATATAAATTCGTGAATGTTCGTGAATATGGGTTAAATTAGAAATGTTTTCAAACAATTATTTATCCTTTATTGTACACAAACGTTACGATAAAACCATAAAATTTTAAACGTAATGTACAAAAGCGAACTTATCTCTAATTAGAAATTACTTCCAGCAAAGTATTTGTCATTGTTTTATAATATTGCATTTAAAGAGAGATAAACAATATTTAAAGCGTAATTACGTGAAAAATGTGCAATTTTGTGTTTCGTCCTTTTTTTATTTACGTTATATCCATATATCTCTCTCTCTCTCTTCGTCCTCTTCATTACTGAAGGTCGTGTCCTTGAAAGGTGTCTGTTTTTTTTTTACAACAGGGGGCAAACGAGCATGCGGCTCACCTGATGGTAAGTGACTACCGTCGCCCATAGTCACCCACAACACCTACGGCATTGCAGGTGTGCTGCCGGCCTTTTAAAAATGAATATACTCTTTTCTTGAAGGTTATATTGTCGTATCTGTACTGCTGCTGGCAGTTGATTCCAAAGAGTGGTTGTGCGTGGGAGAAAGTGCCTTGAAAAACGCACGGTGGAGGACCGCCACTCGTCCAGATGGTTGGGATGAAATTTTAGTTTATGGCGGGTGAAAATCAGTCTGTTGCCTCTTTTATGATGTTACTCCATTTTGCACGGTCTTCAGCTTCTCGCAGGGCAGCTGCAATTGACAGTCCTGTAACGGCAGTTACTTGGTCCGACCATCGACTTGACTACAACCATTAGTTTGTCCAGTTTATCCATATACACGACAATTAATTCTAACTCCATTCCTTTAAAACTATTTCCAATTCAAAATTTTTGGGTATTTTTTATACTCCCGCCAAATCAGGTTTGAGCTTATGCACCTATTTATCTACCTTGTTCTAACATATATGTTATTGTTTGGGGGATTGTTTGTAATGCAGGCTACCGGTTCCATTGCTAACAATATACCCTGTTGGATCACATCAGCGTGATCCCCCTTGGAAATTATCGTGCTGCCAATCAATCAATTACAGGTGTATTTATCGCGATGGGCTAACTAAGCTGACCTGGCTAAAAACCGATTTGACTTTGGATTGGGCAATTTTTTTTATGGATCAATAGTAGTAATCTTGGCAGTGAATGATGATAGGTCAGGATGAAAGTGCAGGTCAGTTTGCCTATCATGATGAATTCGCCTGAAATTTAGCGAAACTGTTTCCAGGTGAAACCGCGTGGAGGTAGACCTGACAAGTAAAGCTAACAATGGGCTGGCAGTCTTCATTACTAATATTGTTAGTTACTAATATTATAATAGTACTTTTCTTTTGTTTTTTTGTATATTTATTCTTTTTTATTTTTTTGTGTATGTACCAATATCTGTTATTATTTGTGTGCTGTAAGTAATGCAAATAAATTATATAATTATTTATCTAGTAATCCCTTTTCTCTACCATTCAACAAGATTTGAAATCAACAATAATGTTAAATCGAGAAACCGTAGTTTCAAACTGCAATCTCGTTGAGTTTGTCGCGTAAACAAATAATTAATCTGTTTGGTATAGTTTAATTGCTTGTTTGAGCTCGCAGCGTCGCTGAAGTTGGTCGCAGTTCTAGTCTGATGAATCTAACCAGAGCCTCACATTGTTGAGTTAGTTCCCACTTTTAGTTGCTATATTTAGACGTTTAACTGTACATGAATTTCAAGTTTATAAGGATTAAAATTTTAAATTAGGAAGCTGTTTATTTTATAAAATAGTTATTATCTATATGCTAATGCTAAAAAAGAGAACGATTTTGATTTTTTGAACCATATCATATCAGTCGATAACTATTCATTGTGAACGTAAGCCTTCACCATAAGGGGAGTTTTGCCTGTAGTTGCCACGCTTGGTAGTTGAGTTGGCATCCGCAGTTAAGTTTTAAGTTATGTTTTGAGAGGGATCCTTCTGTCCATCCCTCGACCATTAACTTCCCTTAGTCGTTTTTTACAACATCCACAGAAACGGAAGGAATGATTATGAATGAATTATGCTGAGACCACACGGTGGATGTTTTATATATTTACATACATAACTACATATCTGTCACGCCTGTCTCCCATTAGGGACACAGGTGTTATTCCTCTGTATCCTGTAAATTCACTGCCATATCCCACCCTTCAAACCGAAACACAGCCATGCAAATACAACTACTTCACGGTAGCAACATGAATGGGACTGAGGTGCCCAAGCAAACGACTTTTGTACAAAGTCTTCCTCTGGTATAAGTTCATAAAATAGTTTGTTATCTAATAGTCCCTTAAATAAGAAATCTATTAATTAAATGAACGAATGAATATATTTTATTTATAATATTTACATTACCTACATAGGTAGGTACCTATTTAGTTATGTATCAAGATGGCTATGAAACTGACAGTGCAATATTGTATGATGTATTGTAAAAAAAAAACTGTAATGTTATGGGTAATGTAAATTAATATAATTTAAAATCGTTCATATATTCCCCGCAATCTTATTGTTAGCAGTACCTTATCAGGTCTACCTGTGCGTGGTTACCCTGGAATCTATCGTGGTTATTTTTTTATAAACTCGTCACGATGGATCAACTAGTGTGACCCTTTATTCTCACTTGGTATCCTGTCAGTATAAACAGACAGCGCGCAAAAGGTTACCACTCCATAAATTTTCCTCGTAAAAAAATTGTCTTTATGAATGGTTAACGCATGAGTACTATTCATGTCTGTATTTGACCTTTATCGTTTTCCATCAGGTGGGCTGTCAATTTACCATTACAATTTGAATAAAAGGAAAATATCAATATTCTATAAAATATTTATTCTATTCGGTGTGCTTAAACTCTCGCTAGCTTCAAAATCTCTGTTAAGTCCTGCTCTCTTCTTTTTTCCCGTGTTTTCTTTTCATCTTCCTTTTTCATTCTCTCCTGTTGTATGTGTGCTATTAAGTATATGTATGTATGTCATATATATATATATATATATATATATATATATATATATATATATATATATATATATATATATATATATATATATATATATAGTGCGCCACCGCCATCATGTCTTTTTTCTCAATGCTCTCTACCTAAAAATTGTCTGAAAAATATTGTTTAGAGTTAAGGCCGCATTTTGTATCACTTCTCACTAAAATTAACTGTATTTATTATTTCATAAATTATAAATATATTTTATAAAGTGTAAAAAAATAAATAAATAAATGTTTATTATTCAAAGGGTCAACGTGTTCCTGTGAACGATCTTGTGACACCTGGTCAAGCATGAAATCTAAATTGCGATATTCAGCGGAATTGCGCAGGAAAAGAAGATACTGCCCTTGTACAAATAGAAGACCTAGATGTTTGAAAATTCGCCGTCGAATCAGAAATATGGAAGAAGTAATAGTATTTATTTTTCTCTTTGTAGTTTATGAAGGTAAACTAAGGATTCCGCAGTACAACGTCTGTCTCTGTGCATTGCTTCCACAATACTGACTCTGGTGGGGGGAAAGGGATTGTTAGTAATGGAGACTAAGAATCCCATTGCTAGCAATATACCCAACCAGGTCGACCTTCTCGCGGTTCTTCCTGGAAACTATCATGATTAATTCCTGATGAATTTATCATGATGGGCTAACTGGCCTGTTTTCATCCTTCACATCACCTTTCACTGGTGCCCCGCCAGTGTATCCCGTTAGTGCAGGCCATTCCATTTTCATCCAATAAAAAAAAAATACTGACTCTGGTAGCACCAGGGTTGCCAGATGTGCATTTTTTCATCAATTGTGAGGTTTACCTAAATGTGAAATATTTTGTCTCCAAATTGATGCAATTTTTTTATTATCGTCATCATGCTAGCCAATAGTTGTTCACTGATGAACATAGGCCTCCTCCTATTGGGGAGATTTGCCAGTAGTTGGTATATTTATCTGGCGGATTGGTAATCGTAGATAGTATTTGGTGAAATTTGAAGTTGGACGCTACTGCCCGATCCTTCAACATTAATTTCCCTTAGTCGTCACCCACGGGAGCCTGTTCTATACCGGGATTACACGGAAATTTTCTTTACTTTTACACAATTAATGTTGCTCAAAGTTTTGACATGAAAAACAAAGAGAATGACAAAATAACGTACTTCTGTATGTTTTTACTTTTAGCTTCTTTATCTTATCCATCTTCTGTTTTGCTACTCACATAGGTATATTTAAATAATAATACCAAAACTGCTTACAAATTTACTTGCACTTTTGTCTAAAAAATTCTTCAGTTCTCCAAAATTTTGCAAACAGGAAAATTTTAACTAAAATTGCGAAAAAATATTATCCAAAGTGGCAACACTGACCGCTACTCACATTTCTAATGTATGTACCCTCATGTATTTACTCGCCAAACAAGGTAGGTATTGCCATACTACGCTCTTAGTACATTTAATATTGATTCGTATCTTTCCAAGCTATCAAAGTTTTATTAGTTTCGAAGTTGTTTAAAGTTAGTAGTTGTTTAATCGTTTGTTTTAACCTGAGAACTACTTCGTAAAAAAGTCATCTGCTTGGGTATATTTGTCCCACTAATGTTCCTGATAGTAAGGACTTGTGTTTGCATTGCTGTGTTTCAAGGTGTTTCAGTTTAAAGGTTGGGATATTGCAACTAATTAAAGGGCACGGATACATAATATCATAGTTTAGACTTCGTGCGCGTCACAGTATATCCTGTATAATACTGTGACGCCCACGATTACTATAAGATGTCTGTGACATTCATAATAATCGGTTTGCTTAAAAAATAATTCCTTACTGATATTATAAATATGAGTTTGTTTCCTTTTGTTACCTCTTGACATTTATTTATTTATTACATTATCATCCCTTTGAGACATAAGATGCAAAGTGTTATATATAAAAAGCATATATACATGTTTCACCATACATAGACATGTAAATATTGGATCCCCAGAACTATTTTTATTTATATTTTTTATTATGTTAGTACAATAAAGAGGTTTCTTCAGGGTCGGCAACGCACGCGTAATACCTCTGGTATTACAGGCGTTCATAGGCTACGGTAACCAGTTACCATCAGGTGGGCCGTATGCTTGTTTGCCACCTCAGTGGTATAAAAAAAAAATATTAATTTAATCATTTATTTGCTCCATTATATTCATAAATATTTTAACAATAGCAATGTTCAATACATCAGTCAATCCACACTATCGAGTTTATCATTTGATATATGTATATAAACCTCAAATTGGTAACATTATACTGGGTATTGTTAACATTTATTTATTTATTTTGATATTAACATACGCGCCGTGTAGGTCCCGGCGTAGAACGGACCACCCCTTCTTTTTCCTGTTGGTGTCGTAAGAGGCGACTAAGGGAGATTAAAGTGGAGGGATAGGCAGCAGCGTCCCTCTTAAAACATCTGTAAAAACCTAACTGCGGTTGCCAACCTGCTTTCCAGGCGTGGCAACTACTAACAACCATCCACAGCCCTTATGATGTGTCCCACAGGCCATCTCATCAGCTGTGGAACAGCTGGGGATGGGCTGTGGGATGGAAAATAAGTTTATAATTACTCCTCTCCATCCATAGGTTGCCTGAAAGAGATTGCTTTTAGCAATAAAGTCGCCCATTGTTTTCTCATTGTGATCATTTCTTGTAATTGTTTGTATCTATAATAAGTTTACTATTGTAATCTTTTGAAGAAAATAATAAAGAGTATCTATCTATCTATCTATTGCACGTAAGTCAAACCGGTAGTTATTACATTAAAATATAATGTGTGCTTATGAAACTTTAAACAATTAAATATTTCAGACATGTTCCTGTAACCACGAATGCTGTTCACGATCCCCATCACCAGAGGGGCCTGATGGCAATCCCCTGCAGCGATCTCAACCAGTGCAGAACATCTGCCGGTTTACCGTTGACGCTTATTTTGCATGAACTAAAGAAAATTCAAATTAAATGTCTCTTGATTAAAAATAATTTATTATTATTATTTTTTTTTTTTACTAAATTTTCATAACATTATTGCTATTTTTTAATAAAATTGAGATCTTTTTAAATATCTTACTTGTTGACAATATAGCTTACTACAGGTAAGAGAATTTTTAAAAACATTTATATATTCATATATTTTAAATTTATCCATTATAAACAAAAAATGTAATGTTGCCTGTGTATAATATTAGTCTAAATGACAATAATTGTAACTGAATGTATTTTGAACATGTCAACTATATTATAATGTGATTTTTTTATTATTCCTTAAAACTCCCCTTTTGGGGGAAACCTGTGTTAAGCGGTGGACAGTAAAGAGCTAATAAAACAATAATCATATTTTTTATTTTTTTACCACAACCATATTACACATTAATTGGCAACAATAACATAAAACTAAACACATTTGTGGACTGGCGTCGAAATTGGGCAGCGAGCTGCCCGTGTTTTAGATCACCAGGCCCCCCTTCTCAGACATAATCATCAATAATATAATACTAATTGCCATCATGGTAAGGAATAAAATAAAATACAATAGTATATATAATAAAATACACAATAATATTTTGTGAATGTACGTACTATTTTATTACGTGTGGCGTGAAAGGCGTGTGTAATGTGTATGTGTGAGTGTGTCTGCACGTGTGTGTGTTTGTATGTGTGTGAGTAGTAGAGTAGAATTTGATTTTTACCCAATACATTATATGTACATATATATTATCATGTTTATCTCAGTATATTTACATCTGTATCCTCATAATCTAAATTTAACGACCATTTAATGATTATATTTTTGCAGTAATATCTTATACAATGACAAATGTTAAGAAATTTATTAATATAGTCACCAGAGTGAGACTTTGTACAAAAGTCGATTGCTTGCGTACCTCTATCCCATTAGTGTTTCAACCGCGAAGCAGTTGTGTTTGCATGGCTGTGTTTCGGTTTGAAGGGTGGGATATGGCGTGAATTTACTGGGTACAGAGGAATAACACCTGAGTCCTCACAAATGACAACGCATGGGGGGTATCATGGGCGAGACAGTATACTTTGTTATGTCCATGGTACTGCTCATGTCTATAGGCGACGGTTACCACTTTCCATCAGGTGGGCCGTCAGCTTGTTTGCCATTCTAAGTTGTATAAAAAAAATCTACCACTGCGATAAGAAAAAAACTTATTAGCAAAGGAGAGAATGTTCTAAAGGACTCTATTTTACATACATTATAGTATCTTCTAGTAAGTTCCGTATTTGTAGTGTGATTTATAGCAGAATGTTGACAGATATGATGATATATATCATAGTATATATATATATATATATTATAGTAGCCACAAATATGGAACAATCAATAACTAATATACCGACGGTCTCATATTATATGTTATTGTGGATAGTTTAATATCCAACATCTGCCTCCTCGTGTCACAAGAATTTAACTTTGTAACTTCATCAAATAAATTATGGTCGGAGCGTCGGGCTTTAATTAATATTAATGAAATCTTTAATATTATTTAATGTAATTAACGCCACGAGGTACAGAACTTAATTGTTTCCGAAATCGATTCTGTCTGTAATAACGCTGGAAATTGGCTTCATTCTTTCATTAAAATTTTGTTTTTGTTTTTTTTTTTTTATATATTTATTTACATTTTTATACCAAACTGCTACAGTAATACATACGGTAATTATTTACCATCAGGTGAGCCGCATGCTCGTTTGTCCCCTGTGCTATAAGAAAACTGATAAATTATTATTCAACTGAATTGTCATTTTTTTTATACAACTTAGAATGGCAAACAAGCTGACGGCCCACCAGATGGAAAGTGGTAACCGTCGTCCATAGACATTAACAGTACATAATAGTACTGTTTCGCCCATGATACTCCCCATTTGTTGCTATTTCTGACCACTCAGGTGTTATTCCTCTGTACCCAGTAAATTCACTGCCATAGCCCACCCTTTAAACCGAAACACAGCCAGATAAACATTTTCATCAGTTTTCGTATTTCTACCTGTATGAAGTGACGGGCAAAAAGCTAGTTATATTTAAATGAATCGATTATATCTGTATGTTTTACAATTTAGTTCTACTAGTTAAAATAGATATAAAAATAAATAGATAAATCACCTAGTACTAAAAAATCGCGAGGGGGAAGGACATACCTATATCCTGCTAAGTCGATCTACCCGTGGCCTCATCTAAAAACCATCGTGCTGAATTCCAGGTGTATTCATCACGGTGGGCTAACTGACCTGCCTTTCTTTGACTAGTGTCCCACTAGCATCTACCTTTAGTGCAGGCGAGGTTACAATTTCATTACCATCCATTAAAAAAAGCACTAAAAAGCCTACTTAATACCTTTTTTCTAAACACTACCCTCAGACATTAGTGAAAAACAAAAACAATATAAAAATTACAAACAGAGCTTTTGTAACCGACTGCCAATACAATTGTTAGAGAGTAATTTATCTAAAACAAAGCTATATGTATAACATGCTGAGAGATATACAGCACTAATCCTAATGAGCCTTAGATCCCTTTGTCGGGTAGACAATATATAATCTAGGTATAACAGTAATACAGATAATATCGACTCAGTGCTGAGACAGACCGTAGATAAGGAACATTGATAATACAAACGGACACAGTAAAGACAAGTGGACAACTTCAATCGACATAAATTAAAATCGGATGGGAATAAAACATATTTATTGATTTAAAAAAAATCCGAATGAATATGAGTTCAAAATAACTACAATATTGTTCTAATAATGAACTTAACTTTTTTTGGAAGCCGCTGAAAAAATTAAATAACCGTAATGTTACGTGTGGTCCCGGCACAGAATTGGCCTTAGCCGTGGGTGTGGTAAGAGGAGACTAAGTAAAGTCGAGGGATGGCCAGTAGCGTTCCTCTTAAAATATCTTTAAAGCCTAAAATAAAATAGGTACGTACGTAGCTTGACATATACGTACAATAGGTACGTACGTAGCTTGACATATACGTACAATAAGTACGTATGCAGCTTGACATATACGTACAATAAGTACGTACGTAGCTTGATATATACGTACAATAAGTACGTATGTAGCTTGATATATACGTACAATAAGAACGTACATAGTTTGATATATACGTAAAATAAGTACGTACGTAGCTTGATGTATACGTATAATAAATACGTACGTAGCTTGATGTATACGTATAATAGATACGTACGTAGCTTGACATACACGTACAATAAGTACGTATGTAGCTTGATATATACGTACAATAAGTGCGTATGTGGTGTATAAGGACATACGTAGGTTTTTTTTTATATCATCCAATATGTTCCGGTCACGCGAACAAAGTCGTAGGTAAAAGTTAATCAGGAATAAATGTTTACATGGCTGTTGAGTTTATCCACGAACTTCCCAGATGTACGCCCTAGATATCCAATGTTTACGTAAATCGGAGAACTGTGCGGAGGTTCTATAATATTAATATGTAGTTAGTCATGTGGTTTGGGGAATGTTTTCTTGAGTAATTACAGTGCGAGGCAAACAGACCAACTAATCTAAGTTGGATAGCACCGACTCGAGTTAAGGTTTGTATATATTGGTTCAGTCCGACATACAATTTCGGTGCGTTGAATGTATTTTTATATTTATACTAGCTAAAAGTTAATGTAAGTATGAAGTCAAAACTGTAACTTTTTTATACAGAGATATATTTATTGAATGGGATAGAAAGTAGCCTATATGTTATAAAGAAATTGTCATTTATTATTTACTAGCTGTATCCTGTGGTTTCGCCCGCGTGAATCGGTATTTAAATTATTCTATATGCTAAGGTAGGATGTAATCTAATTATATACCAAATTTTATTCAAATCTGTTCAGTAGTTTTTGTGTGAAAGAGTAAAAAAATATCTGACCGTCCATGGTTACAAACTTTTGCATTTATTATATCATTAGGTTTTAAACGCGACTTCATTCGCGTGACTGGGATATGTTCAGTAATCCGGATAAAATATATCCTACATCCTTTTCCATCCCATATAGTATGTTTTCTCCCACGAACACTCAGGTTATGGAATGAGTTCCCTGCCGAGGTTTTCCCAAGAGACTACAGCATGGGTTTCTTCAAAAGGGAGGTAAAGAGGTTTCTTCAGGGTCGGCAACGCGCGCGTAATACCTCTGGTATTGCAGGCGTTCATAGGCTACGGTAACCGCTTACCATCAGGTGAGCCGTATGCTTGTTTGCCACCTCAGTGGTATAAAAAAAAAACGTGTATACTGAATTTTATAGTGACTGGATAAGCCGTTAAGACGCTATAAGGTTACAAACAATTAATTTATATTTTCACATTTATAATATTAGTAAGGACTACTTTGTTCGTGTGAATCCTAAAAGCAGCAAAACCAGTGAAATAGATAAATCTAGATGACGTATCAAAATGAAGTATACTCCAAATTTTAAGTTAGACTCGAATGAATTTTATTAAAATGAATTGAAATCGACTCTATTACCTATTTTCACTCAGCAGCCCGTACTTGTAGCTGACTTGTTCTTAATGAGTAATAATAGAATGGTAACCCCGCCTACACTGACGGAACAGCAGAGAGGGATAATAGGTGAGGATGAAAAAGCAGGTAAGTTAACCTATCGTGATTCACTTGAAATTAAACATGATGTTTCTAAGGCAACCGCGAAGAGGTCAACCTGTCAAGGTATATTGTTAGCAAGTGTTGCTACTCACAATTATTAATTAATCTCCTACTTGTAGCTAACTGAGAGCAGGCAACCTGAGTATGTTGTGTATTTTTCTTCACCTTTAATTTAAACTAAGTTTTATTAAAAAGTCTTCGACCTACAGAAGTCAGCGGTGGGATTTTTATCGAAAAGTTCTCTGGCGAAACTAAAAATGGGTCGAAAAATTTAAAAAAATCACCTGTATATATATATATATATATATATATATATATATATATATATACAACACTTTATATTTCCTATCATTCTCGTCAGCTGTGCGTACGTGAGTTTCGACATGCCCCCCTCCCCCTCCTCCCACGTACATCACGGTGTAACGGATATATAAATGAGT